ACTGCCAGCGGTGCCGCAGAGACTCGGTCGCGGCCCGTGTTTCTCGGGTGAGAGGACTCGGTCTCCTCTGGCCTTGCCTCAACTGCCTCTCGTCACGGCATCTCTTGCGGGTGAAATAATGCAGTAGCCTGAGCTCGACCTGGCCACCACCTCACCTCCGTGCCGCAGAGCTGGTTCTGCCAGAGCGACTGAAACTGGCCAGGGGGAGCGTGGCTAGCAAACTCTGGAGCTGTGTGGAGCACAAGGCAAACATCAGTTAAAGGGTTAAGGATTGCATTAAATGCTTGCATTACTCAAGTCTTGCCCAAGCAGTGGAAGCTTCCAGGATGAGTCTGTGCTCAATGTTGCATGTGTGCCACAAATTCAGCTAGAGATGCAAAGAATCTGAGCGACTGGTGTAACCGCAGGGAAGCGGCTGAAGCTAGAGGCAGCAGCTGTGCTGGGTGCCTGAGGGGTTCTGGAGGAGCTGGCCTGCTATGCTGCTGCCCAGCGCCAGTCTGAAAGCAGCCCAAATGCAGCCAGAACAGGGCTTTAGCTTCTGGGTGTAGCACCGCAGTAAAACTTTCCAGTACAAACTAGTCAGTGGTAATTATCTGCTTATCTAAAGGAACCTTGATCAAGTGTGGGATAGTAAATGAATTGTTTGCCTGATTACTAGCTTTTTCTCATTTGTACAAGGAATAGTGCATTAAAAATGCACATAATATACCCATTACCTTCAAAAGTTAGAAGATTTCCATAGGAGTTATAGCTTTCTCACATTAAAAAAAGACACTTGTGAGAGGTGGAGACAATCCTGGAGGATTAATAGAGATTAATAGGCTTTTATAGTATGTGGCATTATCAGCAGTAAAGTAAAACTGGTTAAAAATGGTCTCTCTTACCTCAAATTGCTAAAATACATTTAGGTTTTAGGGGATTTTTACAAGTAGTTCACTAACAATATCTTGCTTATTGGCTAGTGAAAATTGGAAATGTAGATCTAGATATTTATCACATAGGTAACGGACATCTAGCCCTGCAGTTTGTTATTTACAAGTAACAATCCTCCTTTTCAGGGCTTGTGTATGGACAATTGCAACTCTGACTTAAGAGTGAACCTGCAGCTAGCATCTCAGGTGGGAGACATTAGGAGTTGTGCAAATTTCCCTGGTATAATTAACAAAGCTAAAACTTTGGGAGGTGAGACCTCATTCTGAGATGCTAACAGAAAGTGTTTTACCTTTCAAGTCTGACTCTCATAGCTTATCAGGTCTGTGCAGTATAAATAATAATTTTTTTCTCATAGGTTTTTTCAAATGAGCCCAGATAGTTGTGGAAATCTTGGTAATACCTGCTGCTTCCCCTTTCGGGTTCCCAAGTAATGTTCTGCTCAATTTTAATTTTGCTGCATTGTGCAAATGTAACCAAATACATCATAGAAACATTTCCATTTCTCATTTTATACTCAGGTGTACTTTGCTCAGTCTTTTTCCTTATTCTGATTGCTTTAGGTATATGCGTGACCAAGAACTGGAACAAGATGGTGTCTGTACTCCAAAATGTCAAGACAACAACGGGCTGGCGGAAACACCAGCCTCTAGCTGACATCAGTGAGAATGAGAGCCCTGTGCCTGACAAATTCAAGAGAAGGGCCTCTCTGAGTTCTCTCAATACCATACGCATGTGTCTAAGAAAGCGAATACCTTTAAAGCAAGTACAGCCGCATTTCCATGAGACTCCAACTTGGGAAAGTCTGGAAAGAAAAGACAAGTACCAGACTCTCCAGAGTATTAGAAGAACAGCAAGAAACACTTTGGGATCAGTGTCCCAGGTATTTCACCTTTGCAGTTGATTGTAGGTACAATTTAGTTCTGGCTTCAGTACTAAGATTTCTGGATGTACAGCGTGCTTTATGCCAGAGCTCCTATTCTAGGCACTGTACAACATAGTGGTGATTTTACATTTGTTAACTAGTAAAATCTTCAGTATCTTTGCCAGGCTATAGAAAGGGAAATCACGGATCTAGCAGAACAGGGAAGAAGTTGAAAAATAATTGTGAGCAGTAGTTCTGTAAATATCTTTTTTTTTTTTTTTTTAAAGAAAACCCAAACCCCACCCTTTCCCTCTTATAATTTCATGTTTAAGAGAGCAGCCTTGAGAAGGGTGGGTAGATATGGCCATGGCTAACAAAGAATTGTGTTTCTGAGAAATATATGTATATTTCTCAATATGTGTATATTTCTTTTTTGTTTTTTTCCTCCTGTAACCATACTATTTATCATTAGCATATTCCACATTATAGACAATCAAAACTGACAAAAGTCAGTAGATGGTAGCAGGACAGCAAATTCAAGTTTGATATGCTTTTTCTGGTGGCAGAGTTTTTTTTTTTTTTTTTTTAAAGCATGCTCATTCTGTTAGAAATCCTGGCTCTTTCCTGCACAAAAGCAACAGGATCTTTTTTTTCGCAATGCCTGCTGCAGTCCTTGATAAGTTTCAAAACTTAGGGGAGCAAATGACTACTTCACCTGAATGGATATAGCAGGATTGTGAAGCATTCGTGGTAAGCTAAACCTGATCTAAGATCAAGAGCAAGGGATTCTGCTTATACGTTTTTCTGCTTCCAAATTCTAGGCTGGTTGTCTTCATTTATCATGCTGTGTCTACCAATATCTTTTCAGAAAATACGGAAGTCTTGCCAAAACCCACTAAACTCACTAGTGGCCTTTCCAAACAAAACCATTGCCAGAAGAAGCTGTGCAGCCAGTTCTTCCAAGAAGAAAAGCACTCCACCTCAAACTCCTTGCCATAATAACAGTGTTACTCCAGCAGCCAGTTCAAAAAGCACCCCAAGATCCAGCAAGAGAGCCTTGCTTGGGCCAATGAGGGTGACAGAGCAGAGAGAATGGAGGAGTTTCTCTTGCTGGCTTGGTAAGGATGCTGTCCCACTTCGAAGATCAAGGAGAGCAGCAGCACTAAAGAGTCCTTATTCATCACCCTCGGCCAACAGAAAGACGTATGTTATGCTTTTGTAATCTTTATGGCTTTTTTTCCTCACTAGTGTGGTTTGAGTACAAGGCGAAAGGCAAGACATGAAGGTTGCTATCCTATTCCACTGAAATGGTCCGCTGTTAGAATAAAGAGAGTACTAATGTCCCTGTATAGAGGGGGGATAAGTGCTGCATAAAGCTGAACCATGAAAGCTGAATCGGTGCTGTGAAAAGAGCAAGCTTTGTCTTTGTCACTTTCCCACCATGTTTTTCAGGACTAGCCCCCACCTGACTCTAGAATATACCAGAATTCATTGCTGATGCTGTTTCAATAAATTGTTCTGGAGGCATCTCACTTCTACTTAGCCCTAACTTTCCTATAGCTGCTATTTGTATTGCAGAGATACCCGAAATAGTTCTGCTTACACAAATTTCTTCATACAAGATAGAGAGATTCCCTTTGCCTCAGATCTAACACAAACTAAAGAGTTGTGAGCTAGGGAGCTACTGCACAAGACACACGTGTTTTGTCTTGATTGAACTCCCATGAGCAATATCAACTGACAGAAACTGAATCCAAAGCTCATGAATCTGAATCCACTGCTTGAACTGGAAGAGAGCTGTCTTGGTGCTGAAGGGAGTTGTGCAGTAGCTAGTAAGTAGAATTCAGAGCATGGTTGCCAGAGGTCTCAACTTCACTGAAAAGTCCACAGGTAACTAGATCTTTACCTGTATGGAAAGTGGGCTGGGCTGTGTCACCTAGTCATGGACTTCTATTTGCTCTTTAGTAACGACTATTCTGTTTGCAGAGAATTTGACTGCAAGTTGGAACTGGTCTCCTCAGGGATTTGCCAACTGAAGTGTCTCTCCCAGGTGTTTGAGGGTGCTGTGCGAGAAGAGAGGTAAACACTGCTAATTTTCCCCCCCAAATTCAGAATCAGGCCACCTCCTATTCAGGTGTGTTCAAATGCAGTATAACAGGTCCCGGTAACTCTGGGATGAAGAATAGGTGCAAAACTGTCTCAGCTGTAATGGAGCACAGCCTTTCTCTCCAAGAGACCTGCACAGCTTATATCTGCAGTTGGACTTGCAGATTTACTAAAACCTGTCAAATGCTGCTCTTGAAGCTTCTTGCTGTCAAAATCAAATTTGTACCTGCTAGAGGGACTTTTCACCCTGTATGAGAAAGGTACTTCCCTGACACCATCTAGAGGAAGTGCCAGCGCAGGCTTGACCAAAAAAAAAAAAAAAATTAATTAGCTATCATTGGTGCTTGCCCATTTATAAGAAGAGGGACTTTATGCTTTGTTAGTTAGCCTTACACCTATGAATAGCCCACGATAACAATAAATCAAAAATTTAAAGGATGCAGAAGCCTCTTGTACTACACTTGAGTTAATCCATGAGGATGGTAGACAGCCTGGTGTGTTTGTAAGGGTTATGTCATTGAGAGTTAGGTGTATTCAGACAAACCTGAAGGTCAACAGTCAACAACCACAGCAATTCCTTAAAGCCCTTCTCTTAGAACTTCTGATGCCTAATATTCATTAATTAAAGTCAAGCAGCTAAAATCCTCTAGAGTTGTTGTATCAGTAAGTGTTTTTCTAGAGTCCTTCTCTGCTTACTGGATAAAAACTACAGCCTAATCCCAGAAAACCAACTTTTACCAATAGCCCCATTCTTAAACAACTAGACATGATTATGGGTTAATTACTGTATCAAGCTAATGATCATATATGTTGAAAGGTCACTTAAATCTCACTCCTAATGTTCTCCCATCTGCTAGCGATATGAAAGTTTCTCTCATTGGTAACTGAAGATAGTATCAACCAGGTAATGTAGTTGTTCACTTACCTTAGCTATACCTGCATGCATCTGCATGGAGAAAACCTGCTGTTTGCAAACACAGGGAGAGACATACTATTTTGTACACTTAAAAAAAAAAAAAAAAAGTCTTACCATATGGAACCATAGGGTTCTTCCCTGTGTAATCAGTGCTGCTTGTCTCTGCTAGAACAGATCATTGTGCAGTTGTCAAACTTGGCCTCTATGCTGTTGATTAGAGAAAGGTCATGAGTTAACAATAAACCACAAGTTGGGTTTTCGGACAAACAGCAGCTTTTCTTACCTCAGAATAGAAAAATAATACCTTTGGTCACTTACCTTAGTTCTCACTGATTGCTAATTAAGATCACAAAGCATTACAGAACAAACTATAACTCTGAGCATCCTAATTTTATAGCTTCTTTCTTTTCCATCCCTGGTCTTGGCTTGGCATTTACAATAGTAGTTGGTTCCTGTATTGCTGACATTATTAAATACAGCAATTGTCCTGAGTGGATTGGGATAGGAATTATTTGCTGTAAGCTTTTAAACATTGTGTCCAGGATCAATTCTCTAAAAGCTTTTATTAGCAGGTTGCAGGAATGACATAATTCCCCTTGATTTATTTTGACTGAGATCTGGAATGTGCCTTGCCCTCCCTCTTTTTTTTAATCATCACCCATTATGTTGAAAGTGCACGTGTGGGTGTGTAGTGTTTTTTTTTCCTTTCTTTCTAAGGGAGATGAGTACTCTAAATACTATTTCCTATTCTAGCAACAAGGAAAGGTATAAGAAGTTGATTTCTGTAATACCACATGGGGGTGGGGGGCGAACCTCACTTCCACTACCTGGCAGCAATATCAAGTATTTGCTTGAAGTCTTAATGATGTACATTGCTTTCACTGAGTGACTTGATCCAGCTTGTAGTGTGTGCTCTGTCACTAGCTGGTTTGTAGGTTGCCTGTTAATTTGTTGTGCTAGAATGCACAGGTGCCTCCCAATAAGCTTATTTCGCATGATTTTATGTTCTGATATCAATTGCCATGAGTTTTAGTATTACTTCTCCCATTTCACTTTTTCTTGACAAAACTGAGCCTAGGTATAGCTAGCTGTCAGCTCAATGCAATGTTCCAATGCTTCCACGGTAACAAATTTGACTGAATTGGAAGAAATGCCTCTCTTGCTAATTACAAGGTAGTGTAATACTTTTATGCTGCCATTCAGGCCCATGAAAGGTAAACAGTCAAAATACCTTCTTGCTAGGGTTTAGAGCTGCATTTAACACTGAAAGCATGTTTCTCCCAGCACTCTACCTTGCTCCTACCCCATGTGCCATTTTTTCAGGAATTTGTGTGACAACCAGTTACAACCTGATAAAATCAATGTTGTGGACTTCATGCTGTTCATCGTATTCTTGTTCTTTTCTGCAGGCAATAAGCAACACCCAACTACAACTATCTAATGACACGAAATTGCTTTCTGCTTATCAGTCTAGGAAACTCAAGCTACCAGGAGACAAGCAAAGAATCTCCAACAAGCAGTTTGTACTTACAGCCATCATTGTCTAAGCAGTGTTATTTTAATGGGACTATGTGAAGGAGAACTGTGTGAGACCTGATAAAGTTTCATCTGGCTTTGAACAAAACTCACCGTGCTATTATGCAGTTATTACATAATTCTTCTTGACAGCTCAGGACTTGTGTGTCTTGCATTTCAAGTGAATAAGGGAATTGGATTTCTAGCTTATAATGTATTACGCCCTAATGGGACAAGGGACCATCTTGAACAACGTGCATAAGGCAGTATTTTGTTGTCATTAGATTAACATGACCAGTAGGGATAGCCAGAGCAAGGGCTGCTGCTCTCTGTGTGGTAAACAGGCAAGATAGATTTAGATGTTCTTTTGTAGCATATGGGTACAGTTCTATTATCCCTTCAAAGTCTAACCATTTTTCTTAAACACTAACAAACAAAAAGCCACAGCTTTATGAAAGCTAAGCTAGAGAAGAAGGGTTGTTTGATGAAAATGTCCTTGCAAGGTAATGGATTTCTGTAAAAATTGCTCAAGCCACAACAATGGAGCTGTGTTAGGACTCCAATTCATGTCTTCAGGGTTGCTATTAATTAGCCCAATTAAGACCATTTAAACTACTTCTGTTCCAGATAATCAAAGCAAAGCTGCTCTATTTCTTGCTGCTACTTTAAACAGCATCTTGGCAGTAGAGCTAAGCATTCATTTAAATTGTCTTTCAATTATATGTGGAAATCTGTTACTACACTTAATACCACTTATAATATTAGCTAATGACATTAGTTACAACACAGGTATTCTATTTAAGTATACCAAACATTTAATACTTGTATTTACATTCTAATTATTTTTAAGAAAGTAACATTTGTTTGATAAGCTTTTTTTTAGGTAAATTAGTTAGTTTAACAAAGTTAAGCCTTTAGAACTAAAGCAAAGACTTCTCAAGCTTCTAGACATCAAGACCAGGGCTGTGTTTTCCATGGAGGCAGCTTTGTGCAGGCTTGTCAGATTCCTGTAAGTTATACAAATGAATCTTTATACAGAAGATTAATTTGGGAAACCTGCTTTACTTACCACATGCACCTTAAATGTTTGTTTGGTGAAACCGGAACAGCTACAATCCTATTGGCATTAAGTAAAAATAAAGGAAACTATCATGTGCAGTTCTGATATGTGTAACTATGGCTTTTTTAAACTTGACCCTGATTTTCTTGGTTGTCAAACTGGACTGCTTAAAATATTGACATTTATGAGCACTAGAAACTTGCAAACCTACAGCCCTGCTTTTTAGTGCTTCAGATGCCTTTTTTTTTTTTTTTTAATTAAAGTCTACTTCTCTATATAAAAAAGGTTGTAGCTTGAAGTTATTTTGCCTGTACTGTTACTACTTTTTTGAAGCTTTCACAAGCAGGCTGTCTGGTTATTTAACTTTTCTTATGCTACTTTTTCCCTTCAAAAGTTATGTTCAAATTCAGAGGCTGAATTCTATACATAAATCTAAGTCCTATTCAGAAAGTCCTAGGCATTAAACAGACTATTTTTACCACTTTCACCAGCTACAAGAACATGCCTGTGACTAAGCCTTCCCACCCCCATGGTAAGAAGAGCCTGTGATGCTGTTAATTTAAAGACAAAAGAGACTTTATTAAGTAATTTGTTATAAGATTTTAAAAAGCAGTTCACATTAAAATCTATAGCAATTGTAAAAATCTTACTCCTTAGTTCATATTAAATCATTACTGTACATTTTTAATCTTTACAAGTTTCAGCCATAAGAAATATAAACATTTGTCACCATATAGAGCCTTTTCAATGACAAAACAATATTTAAAAGGGAACACTTAATAAAACTATAGATTGAAAGAACATGTTCAAGTCTTCTCACAGGTATTTAGTTGTAGAGTAGCCTGCCCTTCCTCACAAATAGAAAAATATATGCAGCAGACTTGGGGTTCTGTGAAGGGACCACCATTCTGAGTCCTACAAAACAGTAATTCCCCAAATCTTCATCCTTAAAGCTCTTAAGTTTTAAGCAGTCTTTTAAAGTTATGTCTCTATCTTAGAATTTCCAGTATCCCCTCACCCAGAATTTTACAGTAAACTTCTACCTTGCCTTTTAAAATTCTGTCCATTTTAATAAATAAGTGAACTGTCAGATTTATTTTGTGTTTTTCCTCTTCCTCCTGCCCTGATATCCTATTGTGAAGGTACCTTACTGAGATAAATGTAAATAGAGGGTAAATTGTCATCCCCTTACTTTGGGCTTGGGCTATATGTTAGGAAAAAGCGATTAACTCCTGATTTCAGTCCCAGAGCACAGGATTCCAGCTTCTGGAGGCTATTTTGTATTTCTGAAAATTGAGCTCTTGCAAAGAAGTGTGTTACCACTTCTATTTCAAATGGGGATGAAACTTCAGATTTCTATAGGAATCCAGAGTTACACTTGAGTGATTGAACAGCCATTAAGTCAAATTATTTGGGAAAACTAATCTATCTGCTGAGTTACAGATCACGAGAAATCATTGCTCAAATGGAAGCTTAGAGGAAGCAAGTTACAAGTTCTCTGTTGAGAGAACTCTATCCTGTACCAGTTTGCAGGTGAGGGTGAAAAGTGTTCCCTTTTCACCTGCATGTCATGTGTCAAATTGGAATCAGAAAAATAATGAAATCAGTGTACAATGCCTTTCTCTCACTTAACAGATCTATAAACTTTTGAAAACTGACTATAACCCAATCTAATATTTCCATAATATACTTACCTTTCTGAGGTTTAAATACAACAGGGGAAAAAAGAGCTTTTTCCTCTATTGTTTTTTTCAGGAACAATAGTTGCTCTTAAAATCTAAACAATTAAAACATCTGTTGACTTCAGCTACTATTATTAAAGAGAAAAGCTTTTAAATTTAAGACAAGAAACAATACAGAAAGAAGGAAAATTTTCATGTTTCTCTGTTAAATTTACGCTGATGAGTACAGACCAGCAGCACTGTTATACTGTAATACACAGGTAGTACTGCCTTGGCCTGAAGGCTACACCACGGAAGTAGGACAACTGGGGAAAACAAACAAACAAGCCCCACTACTTTGGAGAATGGTGGAGCTTTCAGATAGCTGTCAGTTTCTGCTTAGTTTAATAGCAGATTAAGTTTATATATTTTTTTCCTCTGTATATTATTGATAGGGGCTACATAGAAGTTGAACTGAGTTGTGCGTGTTTTTGTTTTGAGATAACTTCCTTATTCCTTTAGGACATAGGAGAGGTGATCTGCAAGAAACTAAGACTCCACTGTTAACTAACCAAATCAGAATGGCAGCTGACTCATGAACCCCAGTGAACAAGAATGATGATTAATGCCATGTCATTTGTACACCTGACATCATGCCACAAAACTAAACAAGAATACTTTGGTCAAGCAAGATTCTGTACCAAGAGCACTAGTGTAGGCAAACATTTTGATTAAACATTTGTTATTCAAAATAAGCAGATGTGGATCAACATTACTATTTGGATCTGTGGAATATTCTGCACTCTTTTTACAGTTACCTTTTTCAAACTTACCTAGCAGGATATCAAAATTGAACTAACAGCCATTATAGAAAATTCACATTGGTTACAAGTTTGCTGTGCAAGCTGAACAAAAAGCTTCACCTGATGTGGCTATAGATGCAGTAACTATACACACAAGCACAAAATATACCACAGTTGTGAAGGTGCATTTTCACAATATCTCAGATAATGGTCCACCACTGCTATTAATCCCTGCCTTTCCTCCTCCCCCACCCCCCAGAAATGAAATATTGAATCTGTATCAACTGGTCAGAAACATGTTTAGGTGTAGCCTTCCCTGTGCACTGACTTATAGCACTGCTTCAACAGCCCCCGGAGTAACAAATTTAGTATTCCTAACATTTCCATAACGCTTCTTCCACTCTACAGGTCAGAAGAATATGTGCTTTTTTGTATTAATCAGTCTCGAGGCACTAAAGGTGCGGGAACTGTTGATGGGTCTAACCCTGCATTCCTTCAGCATCCAGGATTCCCCGACTTCTTTGCCCCATTCCCCTCTGCACAGGCATTAACCCTCTCATAGCCTTTAAAGTTCACAATTGTGCGGAGTATGCAAAGCTTAGAGACGTGAGCATAGGTACTTAGAGATGAAAGACTGTGGGCTCAGCCTCATAGCAAAAAAGCCCGTTTAGAAGCACTGAAAATAATTCGGTGAAAACTCAACTAAAACTGAATAAAAACTGGTATCGACTTCCAAACTGAATGACTATGAACTATTTACATAGTTTTGTGTGGACAAAGTGTAAAACTGAAATTCTGACAGGAAGGAAATGTTTTAAGTGGTAACAGAGTAAGTTACATTGTAAAACTAGTGATTTGTCCAGCAAATATCAGGAATGAATATAACTTCAAAAACCTAGTATTTCTACAAGCATGAAGTCCCAGTTTTCCACTGCATAACTAGGCTGTTGCATTGCCCTTCTAGATGCGAGATGTCAAAAATCATAACCACTTCTTTTGTACGGTCACTTCTAAAAAAACTTGTCAGTTTACTAGCAACTTGCTAGTGCTTTCAAAACAAATGCCTCTGGCACTGGATCTTTCCGACATCAGCTCCTTATTAGCATGAAGCATTAAACTCCAGGCTGATGCCTGTAACAGTGTTTGCAAAAATATGTACTTAGAGGCATGTGATCAGCAGGTAAACCATTCTATCCCTGAGCAGTAATTAGTGTTGGAAGTATATAAAGGCCGTACAAGCTCGTGTGCATCTTAGAAAATGAAGTTGGGAAAATGTTTTCAGCTTAACTTCAATGCCACCATTCTAAAGCATGCACACAGACTAGCACTTATTTTTACTCCCGAAGTGCTAACACTCTTATATGAAGCACCATGACTGCTGTAAAGGTGACTGAGATACTAAAAGAAATACATAAAACCAGGGCTTTCATTACATGGTTTCTTGCAAAATGAGGACTTAATAACCCCAGGAGATTTCTCCTTGTGCCCAGACATCACTTCTTTTAATGCCTGCCACAGAACTCCACAGAGATTTTTTGTTTTGTTTTGAAAAGGATACCTACCTACCACAATAACTTAAAGATGAAGAACTGATTTTGGAGTCCCTTGGCTGATAAAGGTAGACAGCAATAGTTTTGGAATTTTCATCAAGCACACTGAATACTAACAACAGATATATGATATATCCAATGCTTAAAAAAATAATTGCAAACTTTGCAATCTATGTCACTAGCAAACCTCAAATCTGAGTGGTGAGTTCCTCCCTTGTAAACCTTTGATTGCCTTGACATGAGAGATATCAAAACATCTGCCAGCTGTTGTGGCACCAGAAAAAGAAGGCTGCGACAAAGGACAACAAGCAATGACTTAACTCTGCATATAGAAATTATATACTTACCAGAGATTGAACTACTTACTGTATCTGATCTTTTCAGAGCATGTACCCTGGGCATTTTGTTGGCAGCTGCTAGAACAAGGTACACTTGGTAGGAAGGAGCACAGAATATCAGACATGCCCTTTTACTACCTGTTTTTTCCTTCCATAGATCCACATCAGGGAAAACAAACTCAGCAATGCAATAAGCAGCAATTACTGCATTGACATCTTACCAGCTCTTGCAGATATACTAGCAGTGAACCAGACAGAGCAGATGGAATCTGCTGCATGATACAACTTGCATAATCTCCTTACTGCAGAGGACAAGAATAAATAGTGGGTCAAGACAGAACACAGAAAAACTGCTTCAAGATTATGGGTCAAAGAGCTGGGTGTGACACTGCTGGGGGCAGGGGGGCACATGTAAACCTAAAAATTACCTTGGTGCACTTTGTTGAGATCTTTGTAGCTAGCTGACTTGGTACAGGAACATAAAAAAATCCAACCCCATGCAACATAGCTACCTGCTCCTAATTAGAGATATCAAACTTTCTATTTCTTTCTTAAAAGTTCAGGGTAACTTACACCTCCTCTTTAAAAAACAAAACAAAACAAAAAGTATTTTTATAAAACCAAATCACTGATGTGCCAGAGATCTTTCAGTAAGTTCAAAGTAGAATTTAAGCATGACTCTGAAGAGGCGGCAACTTTGGCAAACTTGCCAAATAACGAACTGAGAAAATAAACCAGACATCTCCATTTATAAGCTACTTTGCTGCATTTTAAGGTAGAAGCCACATTACTATCCCCTCAAGAAAGCACACACACTTTTGGGTAAACAGGGAATACAGAATTTGGTTTACTTCTGCAGCATCATAATAATTTTCCATATAGTTCCTGATTTGTTTTACATGCCAACTTTTAAAACACTAACCAATAGAGAGACTGTTGAGAGACTGTTTCATTCCAGGCTAGCAAAACCTGGGAGAAAAAAAAAAGGCAGGGGGAGCGGGTGAAGAAATCCCCTATAGACTGCTAAGCCTGAAAGTTTGAAATCAGATATAATTTTTAAATAGAAGTTTTTTCTGTGCACTCTTAACTTCATTACATATTTGGAAATATGCTAATTTCAGCTCAGTAATGGAAATTCTCTTGGTGAATTTAGTTCAACATAAATACTTGCACAAAGAATTCAAAAAAAGCTACAGTTAACTACAACATTTACTTTTGAAATATTCCCACTGAGTGAAATTTTCAAACATTTTACTTCTAGTAACTGCATTGATGAAGCTGAGGAAAAAATAAGTATTTAGGAAAAGGTCTATTTGACACTTGTATGCTGGCATCTCCCTTCTTTGAAACAGAAATAATGTACGTTAAATGCTACAGACTGACTTTAACAAAACAATTACAACAAAGCATGAGAAGGTAAAAATCATTATGATGATGATTTTTTTCCTCCAGTGTTAAGATTCTAGTTAGAATAATTAAAAAAAAAAAAAAGATTGCTTTAAAGTTTGGAGATCCTTAGTAAAAGGTTTCCCTGTAGCTTACCATCCTTGGACCCATGTCTCAGGCTGCGATGGTCACAGCCGCCTTCTCCTTCCTTGGAGCAGTCCACACATTTCGCACAGTCACCAAGTTCTACAAAACAGTGTGATCTTTGTACACTTTGCACATCACTTGGTATACAGCAACACTAACTGCTTCAAACTGCAGAGACATTTATTTCTAACATGAAACATTTATAATCTGGTTCATAAGGGGACTTCTATTTACTTGATGTCCAGCACCTCAAATGAGTGCTCATGTTGGTGTCTGTTCACCAATTCTGCAAGTTGAAAGAAAATCTTGGGTCTAAGGCACCCAAAGCATTTTGCCATACAAATCATGACCACCCATTATCATGGTTCCTGATACTGCTTCCCCAGAAAATGTATAGTCTTTTCAAAAGTGAGGCAGCAACAGATACAACTAGTTTTTGAAGTGTAAGCTTTTGCTGTAGCCTCTGGGACCTACTATCTATACTGTTTTGGGCACGGCTAGCTAGTTGGTATCACAGTCCTTCCTTTGAGCAAAATCAACCTGCTACAGCTTTTTCCCTCTTATTGCACATTTTATTATATTTCTTATAAAAAAAGAGCCTAAGACATTTCCTGTTACTGCAATGTTGAAGCACTTGCAATAGTTTCAGATCGTTTTAAAGTTTCCCAATAAACATGTCAAAAGCAAAAAAAAAAAAGTGGAAGTTCCCAGGTTGGTGTAAGAAGGCAGATTCCAGAGGAGGGAAGACTGAGGTACAGATCTCCCCCAGTCTCCTATTTTGAAGCTGCCTAAATACTACCTCTGAAGCATGCCTACAAACTTAAGGGAGTGCACCCAAGATCTTTATCTCCGAGCTTTCTAGGGGACAGATTCAAATTTGTGAACTCCACCTCGGACCCATGCAATGGAGGGCAAATGCCTATCATGATCTTTGTCTGATTCTGGCTGGCTCTGGGCACGCTCTGGTTTGGGGTTCGAGGAAGGTGGGTCAGGTTGCTGCACAGACATAGTCCTGCGGAGATGGTTTCTCTTGCGCAAAAACTCAGGTTGGGAGTGGAGGCCAAAGCTGCCTTTTCTCAAAATCATCCGAGAGTTGTTTTTTTTGGGTCGTGAATGGAGACTGAACTCTAGTGAGGCCAAATGGGCTGCATAACCTTCACTGAGGAACTGAAACAGGAAGAAGAGAAAAAAAAATATCTATTAATTGTAATATGCAGTAACCTAAAGACAGACTCCATATTAATGGGACATCTAGCTCGTTAAATTTGCTAACAGGCTTGCTGCTCCCCCTCTTCCCCCTCACTATTTCTAATGCAAACATTTGCACACACTGCGCATGCAGCTACGCATACATACACTTTTTTTGCTCCTCATACGATTTCCTGATTCTATAACAAAACTTACTTACTTGACACTGTGTCTGGTATTTCTTTGTTGATCGTCCAACAATGTAGATTTGAGATGGCGACAGAGCCAAGACACTGTATACAGAAATATCTTTCATGGAACCATATGCAGCACAGATTTTGATGTGGCACTGAAACAAGGCAAATATTACTTCCACTGTGAACGCTCTGAGTATTGATCAACAAATACTTAACAGGATGATACGTGTTTGCAGCAGACAAGCTCACTGCTAGCAGTCTAATTCTGTAAACGACAGAAACCTAAATCTAACTGCCTGCAGGCCAGAACAACCACATACATATTCACGCTCAGGAAAGAAGTGACAGTTCATTTATTCTTTTGTAATAAAAACCCAAAGAGGACCATGTGTTATCAGCCTTCTTTACTACTTAAAATTGAGCAAAAGAATGAGGAATGACAAATGTACTTTGCAATAACCAGTGAGATGCACTGCTCAAACAGAATGGAGATCTCTAACTTCACTGAATGACACTATCTGAAAAAGATTTTAAAGATATAAACATGTTTCTAGTACCTCCTGCATGAGATTCCGGAGAAAAATAGTCTTTTGTCGCAGTGGGTCATGAACAAGCCCATCTGAGAAGAAAATCATTCCTTGTGGAAAATTGTGTTGAGACAACCAAGAAACTACACGTTGCTTTTGCATATCTGGACGGCCAGTGATATAGATGATTAGATATCCCAAATCTTGCCAATGCCTGTCAGAAGCAGAAGACAAGTTGTGTATGTAAACAAAGAGTAATAAGAATCACAGGACAGGTCAGGTCAGGTGTGTTTTTGCTCAGCACATATTCAATTAGGAGAAGTCAGACTAATCCTTCAACAAGTAGAAAGCAGAATGGTCAAGCCTTTGCTTCTACTGAGGAGTTAGGTAATAATTTCTACATTTTGAGAGACAGGGAGGAAAGCAAGCGACAGTGATGCACAACAGAGTTATATAAAACATTTTAAAATGTATTTAGAATAGGCTTTTTGCTGCAGGTCTACAGCAGGTCTCTTGCTTCAGTTCTACAGCAAGATTCCCTTCCATTTTGACTGTAAGGAATAGAAACCCTTGACAACCCTCCATCTCAGTGCAAGCTGCAAAATGATATTTCTATTTCTTTGTCCAGTGCAGCATTAGTGCATTAGCAAAGTGGATTAAAAGTCTCTCCCCACCTCACTTTCTTTTTGCCCACCAGAAAAACAAAAAAAACCTCTTGCATTCATAGTAATTGGTATTTTTAAAGTAAAGTGTGTCCTTATTTGAAGTTACTGAAACATAAATTACATTCTTTGCTAATCATAATCACAGTAACAGAGACATTTACTGTTCCACACTTTAATATCATATTCCCAAGATGCCTTTTTTACAACAAAGTATACACTTCAAACTAAACCAAGGCACTTTATTCCTTTGAAAATCAGGCACATCTAATGTACAAGCAAAAAGAGAAATGCATATGTCAAGAAGCTCAGCCTTTCAAGATTTTTTTTAGTATACTATCTGCTCCCTGCTTTTTTTTTTTTTTTTTTTTTTTCCTTTCTCTCCCCCCACTCCCCCCACCCCGCTATGAACAGATAAATCGGAGATTTAAAAAGAGGACCATGCAAACCTAACACTTACCTAACAACATCAACTGCTCCAGCTCGGACTTTGGGGTCACTTCCCATAATTGACACACTTGCTGCAAACGAACCGTCAATGCTGAAGACCACACATTCCATTCCTCGGGGAAGCACAGTCATATAACCTGTGGCACTGCTCTGGTCCCCTCTGGAGGGTCAAAGCAATAAGTAGTTTTTTTTTTTCTAAGAAATTATCAGAATGTATTTTCTGCATATTCTGGTTAAAACCTAAAATGAGCTCTGTCTGGATCTAGAGGTTCAAAAACATCTCAAATAGAGCTTCTGATTTCAGCCTTACATGAGGCAAATAAAACTTTCAGTTTCCTTTAGGAAAAAGCTTCCCAACAAGAACTTTGGAAGCTGACTTCACCAGACAATAACATTTGTACAAATACACTGAAAAACAATAACAACAACAACAACAAACAAACTCCTTCCCAAGAACCAAAAGAACCAAAACTTTGTATTTTTCTATCTGTACGCTTACAGAGTATACAAATGCTACGTATATTTTATATATACACACATTAATTTTCTGGCAGTCTACAATTACCATGAAATTATTTAAAATTAAGGAAAGAACTGCTATATTTGTTTTCTTGGAATGTACTCACAGTTGGATAATTCTAATATTGCCCATCCCTCTATGCCTACAAATTATAATGGGAATGCCAGTTCAGAAAAGTAAAACTATCCCCCTAATTCTCAAATCCAAAGAGAAGTACAATTATTGATGGCTTTTCTCATGCAAAGGCTAATATAAAGCATTTGAAATGCAATCCCCTGTTCACGACATTCCCCTTAAGAGGGCTGGATATTAGAACATTATTACAGCATTAGTGACTGAAAGTTCCTACCATCCCATGACCTCACATTACCTAAAAACTGTGATCTAAAGACTGCGCCTTTTCTCCTTTAAAATAAAAATTACTGAACCATCCAGGAATTTATACCTGGTGAGGCAGAGTCTTATAAAAATGTGTGCATCGCACCACAGCTTCATGTGCAAAGACTGGACAACTTTCCAGCCTGAAACTTATTCCTGCTTTAAAGCCTCTGGGCACTTAGCTCCTCATAAATCTTAATTTGTTTGTAAGCAACTCTGTCTTATTGAATTCATTCACTGTTGTGCTATATTGAGGGGAAATATTTATTCCTCCTGAAATAGCAGTATATGAGATTGTACTTGATTAACTGCCAAGTAACATCACATTCTTTTTCAACTAAGTTCATCCCAGAGATTTTGTTTCCAAAGCAAGAATTCAATGAAAGTTGTAAGCTACCTGCTAGACGGGTAGAGAACTAAACTCTAAGGCACTGAACTAGAGCTTTAATATAAAAGCGTATTTTTATTAAACATAAGCACAGCTTTTAAAAACAGTTCTGTAGCTAGACTGACAAATCTTATTTCACAGATTTTCATTCTCTATGTTTGGCTTCATAGCTTTGAGCTTTGGGCTTTGAGTTTTTTTTAGAATTGCTTTACCATCAGGCAACTTGACTGCTTTCACTTCAATGAATTGTTTCTTTAAGGTGCTACATTTTTTTCATTTTAGACTAAATGTAGCATTGAGTAGAGAATTAAAGTGACTACCTCAACCAGACTGACATCAATAGATGAACACTTGCTGAGAACAGTATAATACTTTGACCGTTCATTTCAGGAAGAAGGGTTTGTCATCAGTCTGAAGAACGCAGAGCCAAACTGCTTGCAGCAGTCTTTCCTCACTGAGCAGGCTCTGACTTAACCCAAATCATATATTCTTGCAGTCAAAGGGCTGATTATGATTAATCCCTGTGTTATGCAAGGCCAAGCGTCACTAAATTGAATTGCACTAAGGATTTGTGTTGCAGTAGAAATGAGACCCATTGAGCTGGACACCTCCAAAGTGGCAGGTAAAAACACAACTGGTGCTTAAAATCTAAACTGACAATGCAGTGAAAGGATGAAGTAAAGATGCCTTGGGTCATTGCTGGGAAACTGAAGCACACAGAAATTAGAGCCATTTCCCAAGTCTGTTGCATAATCTAGAACTGACTCCAAATTCCTTCCCCATTTTACAAACCTTGGTGTTCTCCTGACCGCAACAGCCCACCACAGCTGTAGTTCCACCTTAGAAGTATTACCTGACCACCATTTTGATAGGATACACGCCAACGCTGAGCCTCTTCTGTTTGGGTATCTTGTACGATATTCGACCACTGCTGTTGGATATCTCTGTGCCAAAATACACCCACCTACCCAAAGATGGTTCAGTCATGATGAAGATATCAACCTGCAAAAATGACAAGTAGTCTTCAGATCTGATAGTAGGTAGCACATCCCCTATTCATAGGGCCTGCAAATCTTGGATGACTATTAGTGTTCTAACCGTATCTTGTACTAAAAATCTACAGGGAAACTTCAAGAAATCTTACAATTCTGTAAAGTCATCATACAGCACCCTAATAATTAAAAAATGCTTCCTAATCCAGAATATGAGAGTTTATTACAGGCTTGAATACTTAAAACACACAGCACTACAAGCATCCAGAAAACATGGAGCTCTGCCAAGACCCAGAAGCAGGAAAAAGTTGATTTTGTCTTATGTGTGCATGTCACATTTTTGCAGCCTAAATTCTTCAATGTTCAACACTCAGTCCGATACTCTACAAGACCGGACAGTAGCTGTCATCAGGCACTTCAATTGGACATTCTCGTTAAATCTGCAGATATGTGTCTCTTGGATATAATTATAAGGTTACATTGGGATATAGCTTTAAACAATATTAAAACTGATGAAATTGAGAACGATTTTTTTCCTGGATGAAGTGTACAGTATTTATAAGTCAGAAATATTACCAAGATCAAACAATATGTTTCCTCCTTTCCTCTGATTTTTGACTGCAAAATTCATTCACAGTTTTAATACAGAGGCATAGCAACTGGTTCTTTAAAAGTGTTGGATGGTGGAAGCAGGAGAAAGCAACACTCTACTATAGCTGACCACAATCAAGATTTCACACTTCCAAGTAGATCATTAGTAAGAAGTCAAATTATATATTTTTTTGTTTTGCTAGCAGATACAAGCAAAAAAAAAAAACCAAAAAAAAAAAACCAAAAAAAAAAACCAACAATCTGACTTCCTCACAATCTGAAAAGGAATGCAAGATCTAACCAGGAAGAGATTTTTTTTTTTTTTTCCTTTTGTGAATCATGCTTTTGGCTTTGTTTTTTTATTCAACCATTCTGTTCTTGCTGCTATTTCCCCCATTTGTTTTACCTTTCAAGTCCAGGTGAGTTATTTTATGCCATTAAAATGAGCGAGATACAAACAAATAGTTTTCAAGTTTGAATTGGGCATTCTGAAACATTACAGCAACAACTATCATTCCAGGTCAATTTTTCTTTCTTTTTCTACAGCACTGTAAAAGCTACTAGAACAGTAAGATGCTATGATCATTGAAGTGTCCTGGCTCAGTTTTTCCCCCACCACAAGAACAGACCATGAAATGTAGTCATGATTTTATCGCTTCTAGTAAGTAATTTCTTCCAAGGGATTTTAATAACAGTATTTTATAAAACACCAAAGTTGTTATGAATACAGTTTCTCATTGCAGAAACGCAGCCTCTTTGCTCTTTCCTATCCATCTCAAATAGGAACGCAACTTCAAGGCAATGAACTGACACACAATAACGTGTAAAGGCTTAAGTGTGTAATGCACAGAGCGTACCAGGTCATTAAAGCACTGACATACACCTTTGGCCTCAGGAAAATCACTGCAGTGCATTTTCAATGCGGCCTACATATGCGCATTAAAATGCTAACTATGTCTTCTCCTTCACTAGTCAAACTCGACCTCAGTAGACGGTCTAAAGCTAAAGTGAATCCAGTATACAAACTTACAGAAATTCAATATGTATTTTTTAGGAGTATCTGGGAGAACAAGGGAAGCTCCTAGCACTGAACATTGCCACATAAAAATGGCACATCAAGCCCACCTCAGGTTGATTCACATTGTCTAAGAGGTCAGCAGATTGAAGCTGAAGCCATGTTGCAGGCCAGTTCCACAGAAGGATGGGAGAATGCGACGGGCAAAGCTCTCAGGGAGGTCCAAACTCCTTGTCTTGACTAGATCCTCAGGTCAAGGACCAGGATGAGTACCAGGCCTCATTTCCATTATCACTCTACTGTACCTCAACATATCTCACCCAAATCAGAGGAGGTTCAAGGCAAATCCTGCCTGCTAATCACAGCACTGTAAAGTGGCAAAGCCAAATACTTCAAGAATAAGGCAAATCTGCAGGCCACGCTGCTGATTGACAACAAATCTTGCTCTAATTCCCACCCTATCCCAAATCAACAGGAGTTCAAGTAATATTTTTCCTCCTACTTCATCTTCCTTTTATTCCTACAGAGGAGGTAAGGCGGAAGGGAGAAGGCATTTTCTGTGACAAATCCGAGAGTCTTGCAGTTAAAATGGTTTCTACTTATTTTTGCTTTGCAAGTTATAAGAGAGTACCCAGCTTCAATGAGCGGTCAGGCTAAGACACAAGCAATGCCTGCCAGGGATTTCATCGCACAGACATCTTGCATCAACAGTTTTCCTGACTGCAGATCCAATTCAAGACTTTTAATACACTCAAACAGATTTAACTGACATTTTGAACTGATATGTGAGAAATAGGATAAATAGGAAATTATCAAGCTAAAAAACCATAGAGCTTAAAAGTATTCTTCATACGGTCACTACATGGCAGAAGACTCCGATCATATTATATTCACTTAATAAGAGTGAAGAAGGGCTGAAAACCTAACAGAAAGAGCCATAATCAAAACTTTCAACAAAACAGGAGGAAAATGTGATCTTAACCTGCATACAAACTTAAATAATGGTGTTGCTTTATGTTTCTTTTCAACCCAATGGGACAAGATTGAAGAAATGTTAAAAATGTACTTGTGATCTATAACATAATAAGGTATTTTGAATTCTGCAACAGCATCTTAGAAGCAGCATACTGCCTATGTCTTTCAAGCCAACGCACAGAGGCAGCTGATGCAGCTTCTGTGAAAAGTAGGGAAGTTCTTATTTGGATGAGCTATCTGTCTTCCAATAGCCAACTTCTTTGGCTGGGGCTGAAAGGACCACCAGCATTCACCTTCTACAGGCCTCTGCTAGGAAAGTGGCAGTATGTATTATCGCCTCAAAGGTGCTGAGTGAGGCTTCCAAATACATCATGTAGAAAGACTCTGAAGGATTTGTTTTGTTTTTTTGTTTGTTTGTTTAAGCATCTCCAGAAAGTCAGCATATGAAGGAAAGAACAATTATTTCAAGCTCATTCATCATTTCCTTTTAGTGATTTGCCAAATGCTACAGCCTTTACTTCTTCCTCCTTCCTCAAAAAATTAATTCTGTCTCCAGTAGGAGGTGCAACTGAACGACAAGTTCAGAAATCACTGTACAGCATACTCATTCTTAACCAGAAGAGATGGGCAGCATCATAAAAGCAGGATGACAACTGGGAAAAAGGGGGGTGACCAGGAAAGCCCAATTGCAACACATTTTTTCTGAAGTGATAGGGGTAAGAGACATACTTCTCTGCCCTATAATACCTTCTCTTATGTTTTGGGGTGGTACACTCAACAACTGTTTCTATGAAAGGGTGCATTGGAAGACTTTACCTTTTCACCCGTTAAAGCTACCATGTCCAGAGGCCCATACATAAAGCGCCCAACCAATACTTGTGGACCATCTTCTGCTGCAATTATATCATTAGCTCGGTGATTGGCAGTCACATTCTGAAATGAAAGCAGAAGAACAGAAGGGCAGCTTTTGCAGAGCGGCTAACATCCCTACATTTTTACTATGAACATTGAGACACACAGAGCCCTGGACAGCTGGTTTGAGTTACATCTCAGTGCATCTGCAGAGCATCTTGCAAAATCGGGTTCCCATTTCAGCTCGAGCCACAATCCCAGTAATGGCGAGTTCCTGAACACAGATTCCATTGAAATGCTCAACATGACTGAATAAAAGAGCTCTTCTAAGAAATACCAGTTATTTTTACTACAAGCGATTCTAAAGATTCACATGATTTATGTCAGATACACTCATGAGGTACTTTTGCATATTTTTAGTAACCACAATTTTTCACACTAAAAAGCAAACAATACTCGACCAATTTTAGCTGATGACACCACTGGAGGAGTACCTCCAAGTTCGCACTCTTTCAAACAGAGTATAAATTGTGGCAAAGACAGGACTCAAGCTTTTTGAATATGATCATGTTTAATCCTTACTTGCTTTTATGCCCTGAAGCAAAATGTACTCACACTAACATACACAGTGGTGGTTTATTAAGAAAAAAAGCCAGAATTTCAGCTAGTCTCCAATAGAAATTTTCTTATGAGTTTTTTTTTTTTAAATTACATAAGCCCCTAGAAATCCTAAGAGGTTGATTTTGGTATTTCTAGCCAATATGGCATTTACAGAATGAAATAAATATGTATATATATATGTATTTGGTTATGAACTCATGTAGCACATAAGAAAACAGGAGAACCTCCTTTTCTCTATTGTTATTTAGAGAAAGAAAAATATATTCTCCCAACATGTCTTGATAAACAAGGAGTAAATTGTTCCTATTCCCTAACTCTTAATTTGTTTGCCTTGAAATTTCATTTAACAAGTTTCAGCTATTTAGATATCTTCAGTTATGAAAAATTCACACGTTGAACTCCATTTAAGTTCCTGCAAAACCCAAGTTCTAGCTGCCATGGGTATTCAGAATTGTACCTACTCTCAACTTGACGTGTGTCCTTCTGCGTAGCCATTTTTCTCGTGAATTGGATGGGCTTAGTGTTGCTGGATCCAGGCTGTCACTTTCCTTGAAATTAACATTTTCATACCTCATCACCTGAAATGATATCAATGTTCTAATAAACAGTACATGAACTGGGGAGTCCTGTACTTGGTAAAGAATAAGGAAATGCATTACTGCCCCAGTGGAATGATGCTTTTTTCAGATGAGCAACAAAGATTATTCCTGTTCTGGAGATTATTTTGGTTCACAAAGCCTTCAGCAGTTTTCACATTGCAGTGATTGTGGCAATGCTAGTTATAAACAAAGTTTATTTAAAATTTCTTCTAAAATTCTCCAGTGGAAAAGCAGTAATTGCTTAACCACACATTTAGACTAGAATCATTTATAGCAAAGGGTGCGTTGAAAGGACAGTCAGAAGCTGAAGGAGTCTTAGTATTTGATCAATTAAAAGCAGCAATCAAAATCTCTATAAGCAGTCTGGTTACAAGCCAAATCTTCTGCTGCACATTTCATTCTCAGAGGCTGAGTACAGCTGCACAATATGATTCTAGTCCTTTCTTAGAACTACCGAACACCACTGTCCATTCAGTATTGAGAGCTCTCTTCTCCCTCAGCAGCAGTTCTGGGTTGGAGGAAATTCAGCCACTGAGCTTCCGTTCCCTGAAACTACCAGCTGAGCCTCCAGGCAAGTAGCACTGTTGACACCAGCACTGGGAGTAGGAGACAGAGAGAGCAAACAGACCAGCTGAAAGGAGCTATGGGAGAGGCAGGCACACCAATCATTTAATTAACAAAAGCCATTGCATTATTTTTTTCTGCCATTTGTCAAGAAGGAGCTGTTTCAATATTCCATGGATATAAAAAAATACACTGATCCTTTGGCTAATCCAAATTAAACTGGATGTGATTGGCTTCTGAGAGTCAATTTTGGTTCTGTACTTATTCTGTAGAAGGTTTCACTCAAATGCCACTAAGCTATTCTCACACTACGTTAGATTTCTCAGCCAGATAAACTACTCCTGAGACACCAGTATTGCATTACTCCAAGTCACTAAGAGCAATTATCTCAGTACTGGAACAGAAGGCAAAAATCCATAGTCGGAAATCCTCAGAAGTCAACTGTGAAAAGAAAATGCGCAGCATCTTTAAATAGTCTATCATATTTACAGGAGAGAACACTAAGTAAGTCTTTTCTTATACGTTTCTGTTTTGGTCTCCTTATTTTTCTTGTTTCCTACACTGCTTACAGTGGTTTAGATAACTTGTAATGCTGGAATACAAGGGTTAATTGTGTTAAAGGGAGAGGGAAAGTCTGCAGTATTTATCTTTCCAAATCCAACTCGCAATCCACTCTGATGCCTCCACTCAGCACAGCATGTAGGCCTACACTTTAGAAGTGAATGAGTTTGGTTTCTAATGGGACTGAAGGACTGTATTCAAAAGCCAAAGTGCACCTAAAGGTAGCAGAGGGTACAGCCCTCTTTCAGAAAGGCATCTCTCATCTCAGTACAATCAACAAGTCCACTACAAGATGCTACTGCACCTCCGCTATCTACAGACAAAATTTGCCTAACATATGTCTACAGAAGTTAATTTATGTATTTGCATTATCCAGACAATGTGTTATCTATAAATTCCTTGTGTGATACTCATTTCAAACATTAGCTCAATATCTGAATCCCTGAGGCAGATCTGACAGCTTCACACCATCCAAAAGATGACAGTTATATCCAGCTATACTGATTCCTCTCGATTTGATTTTCTCATGGGAGCAATATTTTAAAACTGCTGTTAGATCTTAGCTAATTATTTTATAGTTAGTAGGGATACACATAATAAAGCAAAAGCGGAAATAGCCTATTCCTTCAAAAGGCAATAGGAAACAAGCACACGTTCCAGGCCATCCTGATCTGGGGTTCAGAAGGAGGCAGCAAGGTGTGCATGGCAATGCATTGTTCCCAGCCACAGAAATCAATAGTGAGTACACCAGTCAGCAGTGATAACGGGGGACTGCTCTCCCCTTCACCTCTCCAGTAAATCGACATCTGTCATTCCTACATCAAGGTTGATGTGATGCAACCACAGGCAGTCATCTAATTTAACTAAAGATTAAAACACACATCACTCCCGGAAGATATGCTTAGCAAACACAGTTATTATTTGCTGTAGAGAGAGAGAGAGATCAATGACCTGTCTCAAAATGAATGCCACAACATCTGTTGATTCCCAGTAGCTGGCATGGAAAAGATGTGGCAGGGCCACAGTCGGAAATGCTGTCAGTACATCTGGACAGTACAAGGCATAATCTATCCGTTTTGTTCCCCACCACTTGGCAGTAACTACAGAAAGAAAAAAAAAAAAGGGGGGGGGCAGGGATCATCATACTTAGCATCATACTTAGGTTCTGTTAAAGGTATCAAACACAGGACTGTTTTCACTGATTACATCATCTCTTAAATGTCTGCAGCCTACCCAGTCCCATTGGATTGAAGTGTGGGGAAGCAGAGATCAGCCCAACATGATTCCAATTATTTTCTCATCTATTAAGAATAAATTATGATGTTTTAGAGTGCAAATTGTAATGCTTCCCAAATAATTAACGCAATATTGATATAAGACTGACAATCCATAACAGGACAATAAATAATAAGCAACAATTTTTATCTGTCTGCAGTTCTTCACATCAGGAACATATTTCTAAAAAACAGTTAATATGAAGTCTTCCAAAACTGTTTACAAATGCAGTTTAGTATAAGACTGTGACTTTGCTTCTATTACTTTATCCACTTCATTATAAGCAGAAGAAAAAGTTAAATTGTGTTATTTAAAATCACAGCAATTTACACTGTTATTCTCCCCAGATAGCCAAGCAAGCAGTTTTCCTCTTCAAAATAAAATTTTCCCAGAAAGGATGTGGGCAGAAGGGTTGAAGGCAGAAGGCTGCATCAGACAGCATGCTGAACCAAGCCTCACTCACTGTTGGTGAGGTATGCAGATGGCAAACTCTCTGTTGATCCCGAGGTTTCGCTCTTTGTGCTGACCAAGCTTGACCTCCTTGATTTTCCCTGCAGCTGACTGGATAGATTTAGAAATTCAGAACTCTCCTGAGGGAAAGGTATGTTCAAAGAGCTGTCCTCAAGGAACAGAGCACTGTGGTTGTGTATAGCATCACCTGCAGACAAGACAAATGAAAAAGCAAAACAAAATACACAAAAGAATGAACAGCATGTTTTCCTCTCTCCTCTCTTTAAAAACTAATGGCCATTTTCCTGGGTAAGATCAGATCATGGATGTCATTCATTTAACGACTATGAATGAAACTCCTTCAGGGCCAGAAGGACAGCATAGCACAGCATGACTAAACAGAGAAAGAACACTCTACTGCCATCAACATTAATGATACCTGAGGGCTTTGTTTAAGATCTTCCAAAATGAACAGCGATGCTGGGAGGTTATTTTATGGCACACTCAAAACTCTTGCTACCTTGGAAGAGCTAAGCTGCCCTGGGAGCCCGTGATACTGCTCTTGTCCTTACCCTGACATGAGCAAAACAGCTTTAGAAAGAGTGCATTCTGTTCCTAAATAGAACAGAAATTTTATTTATTCATGCCACCCTGACAGACAGTCTATGGAATATGTCTGAAATGTGAGTTTAATGAAACAAAATAAACCCTCCTGCAGCATTCTGAAACACATGTATGAATATATGTGCACTTAAATCATAGTATCGTTTGGTTGGAAAAGACCCTCAAGATCATTTGAGTCCAACCGTAAGCCCTTCAACACCACACCTGCTAAACCATGTCCCTAAGCATTTCATCTGCACGCTTCTTAACACTGCTAGGGATGGTGACTCCACCACTTCCTTGGGCATCCTGCTCCAATACTTGACTGCTCATTCAGGGTAGAATTTTTTCCTAATATCCAACCTGAACCTCCCCTGGCACAACTTGCCCTATTTTCAGTAGTTATTTTGGAGAAGAGATCGACCCCCACCTCACTACAACCTCCTTTCAGGTAGTTGTAGAGAGCGATAAAGTTACCCAAGCCTCCTTTTCTCCAGACTTCTCCAGCTCCCTCAGCTGCTCCTCATAAGGTCTGTGCTCCAGCCCCTTCACCAGCTTCATAGCCCTTCTTTGGGCACAATAAAAGCATTGATTGCAATTTTGCTTGAAGCAGCCTGTACCTCCTGCTGTACCTAGGAAAGGCAGAAGCCCAGACACCACTAAAATTGGATGCACAGCATACACACCAAAAGCACCTGACTTCTCATTATTTTTTTTGTAGAGGACAAACCTCCTAGAGAGGTTAAAACATAGCCAACAGGACCCAGGTTCAATACACAGAATACAAAGGAAAGAACATAAACCTTGATGATGTACTGCTTTACTCCTGAGTATATTTCTCCCCAAAAGTTGATACGGCTAGAAAAATTCTAAACTGTTTTGATGCATGCCTGAATATCTGAGTGAGACAACACAAGGAGCTCTTATTTTAAGAACTAATTCTACAAGTCCAGGTATCAAAGAGAAAAACCCATGTAGCCAATATAATCTATTCTTTGTGAACAACAACAAAAAAACCTTTAATTCAAAAATGTTCTCAAAGCACTTGCATTTATATGGGAGCATTTCAAGCCCACTGAAACCTACCCAACTTAAGTGCAAAAGACAGCCAAGAGTTAACTCTGTCTAGAGGTTTGATATTGGTATTTCATGGAATACTTGGTAATCGCTGCAGTTCAGGAGTTTTGCTTTAGAAAATATCCAACAGTGCTATGTGCTATGGAGAAGAATCTTCTGACTCAGTCTTAGATGAGCTCAAAAAGAGCATTTCTCATTCCCAAATCACTTAGAGTTCTCTGCTTCAAGAAGCGCTCTATATGATGGGTTTGTTCCATCACAACAAGGCTTGTAAAATGCATCAATGCAATGTTTTCACTTTGGAGAGAAGCCAGAAGGGAAGTATTACTACTGCGACAGTTTTTTAAATGAGGGCTTACCTTTCAGGTAGCCTTAGAAATCTCAGGGATAGAATCTGGGCATAAGTAATCAGAGAGATTTCCAAGTATGTAACCAGGCTGTATACTAATTCCAAGTCAGACTGCAAACCAGGGTATGCCTTTTCCATTGAAAGATATCCCAGATACGTGGGTGAGAAGAGAGCACATAACTGCTCAGTTTGGACTGTCCCTAGCTTAGCTATTCCTTAGGGCAATCCTCTGAGGAGATGGCAGGACTTCAGGTTATTCAGTACCCCAACAATAATGTTTGCAGATAAAAACAAGTGTTAGTCAAAGAAAAATGATTAATGGAAGAAGTCTATACCTAGAAACCAACCTTCTGCTTGCATCTACATGCTGCATTTTTCCTAGACAATTATGTAGGAAGTTTCCGTCATGAGCAAAGAATGGCAGAGCAGATGGAGAGATAAATAATGAACAAAAAAGTCTGAAAAAACAACTGGGATGGGAGAGATCACATTAAGCAAATAATAGCTTAATTGCCTCTATTAATAATCTCCAGAGGTCTCTTCCAGCATCAATTTTTCAGTATTCTGTACCAGGCAGCAAAATAAAACCAACCGCTCAGAGTGGGGAAGAGCTACAGGTGAATTAATACTTCCACATTTTTTAAGACATGAGAAGCCAAATGAAAGTCATTCTGTCTCCTCTGGATATAGGAATCTGTTCCCAGTCCCTTACTGAATTTGTACTGTTATGTTCCATGCTGGAAATAGGTAGCAATCTGATTGCCCATCAAAAGCTTTGCCCTACCATATGATGGACACTTGATTTTAGTAACAATGAAAACAAGGACTCTTGAGTTGTCAAAATGAAAATAAATCTCCAATGAAGGAGGGCAGTGTAACTCTGGATTAACCATTGCTTTTCAACGATTTCACCTGATTTGCATTCCATGTACATTTTTAAGCAAATTGCATGAATGAGTGTGTATACACAAGTGTGTGTATGCACACATGAGTGCGCATGTGCATATATATGCATGCATCTTACTGCAGGGAACAGATTCCCGATGATATATATTCAACTCCAACAAATAGAAAACACTGCCATTTTACCATACTAGCCTCCAATCTTGAGCTCTGAATCCCAATATGGCTTTTGAAATATCCTGCTGAGGCCCAAATTCATCTCCGTATCTATAGCAAAAAGAATAAATCTAACGTGCATGTATGTACACATGCACATGATAAATTCAGTTCTTGCATAATGTACAAGTCAGCTTCACACCTATGTGATCTTATCTCATTTTCCATGTGAACCTTCTTACAAAGTCAAAACAACACAATTTCTTCTGCCATCACATTTCTTATCTCTTCCATTCTCTTTCCTCCCTGCCTATCAGTCTGTTTCAATTTTTCCCCGATTTAAGCATTTATTATCCAGCATGATACGCCATTCTGCCCTGATGACCCAAGTAGTTTTTAGCAGGTTAGCACATTTGTATATCATATTCTCTTGAACTGTGTAAGGACAGAGAAATTTCAAGAGAGCAGCAGTTAAAGAGAGCTTATAAAAACAGGTACTGTACCTAACTGGTGAGATTTTCCATCCCCCAGGGGGTATCTCTGATACTGTGGGACATTGAATGGAGGCAGGAGATGGAATCTTTTCTCCAGCAATGGTTCAAGTCTACAGGCAGAAGGATCAGCAGAGTGAAAGAAACTGTACACTTGGCTGCAGGCTGGGCGGACCTGGCATACTTGGATGAGAATGAGAGAGAAAAAGATTCAGTAATGCCCCTTTGCCATTTTCAAGGAGGAACATGGTTAACATGGTTTTCTGCAACCTGCACACTAAAACACACATCTGGCCAAAAGAAATGTAACTAAATTGTTTGCTATTCCCTCTGTATAGAACCATTCTTCACTGCAAAGAATCTTACAGAGACTGCATAATCATAGGTACAGGCAGAAATAAAAAACAGCACAGAAACAGATGGAAGCAAGAAAGGCAACAGAAGTTTAAAGACTTTCTAAATGTATTATTGAACATTACAGCTATGATGCTCAGCGCTTCAAACATTTACTAACAAAATTATTTGATAGGTCTATTACATAAAAGAGTACTGAAATCCAGATGAAAGCAGGAACGGGTAAGTGACAAAGCACTGCAGTTTCTGAAGTCTCTTACAGAAGCTGATGAATAAAAATGAGGTTAGACATATTATAATAGAAAAGCAATCACAGATGTTTATGATTTTTGTGGGAGAGATGCAGCCTCTGGGAATTTTGGGCTGTGACTGTTAAGGGTATTTGAGAATCACCCACTTCCTTGGCCAACAGGATGCTCTTTCAATTGAATGCACAGAACCAAGACATAACTTACACTCATACAAAGACTGCTAGGTTACGTAGAAGTCAGTGTAGTCACTTCCCATTGAGCGAAACTGAACTTGGATCACTATGAATCTTGTCAGAGCACACAGATCTATTGATTAGGGGATAATTATACTTAACAGACTTTGTATATTACAGCATCACACATATTACAAGTCAGTTTATTAACTAGAACAGTAAATAAATGATTAAAGTATTTATAACAGATGTTATGTGTGCTTCCCGTTAACTCAATACAAGCAGGACCTATCTCTTAGTGTTTTTCAAACCTGCTGTGCTATACAATATTCTAAATGCTTTTTTGTTGTTGTTTTATTTTTTTGGTTGTTGTTGTTTGTTGTTTTTTTTATAGGGTACATATTTCTTTGCACTGATCATGTAATCCTGACAAAATGCATGACACTTTTCCTGGAAAATGTGCTTGGTACAGCATTGCTCCCACGCACCAGCCAAACACATGCTTAATTAAAATGTTAACAGCTTTGTTCATCATTTTCAACAGTAGGTATTGCAAAGTCTTCCGAAAGAATCCATCTCAAGTGACATGACATCACACTGCTTAAGGTCTTTCTTATTTTTAAGCCTTTCCAGCATCAAAGGCATTTCTGCATCAGCAAATTTAAATGAAACAAAGTCGACAATGTACATCTTCCTCTGTTGCAAACACAGCTACTTGGGCAATCTAAGTGACAAAGATCTACATGATAAAATACCATATTCTTTAGGTTGTTATCAAGTTCTGCTGTAATAGCATTGCTATAGGCAGATCAGAGCGTTATTTTGCAGCAAGATCTGCCCTATAAAGGCTAGAGCAAGAGGCAACCTGTTTCCTGCCACTGAGTAATTAACATTTTACTGATCTTAGTAAAAGACTTTGAGATATTGCAATACCAAGGCTCCAGTACCAGAAAACATTCATTTTAAAGATCAGGCATGTGTGAAGAGGAAAGAAAGGAAGAAGCTCCTCTACTTAATTCTATACAAGCTCTTATAATATTTATATAATAAATATATAATAATAAAGAGAAATTTTCCCCTTTCCTCCAATATATTTTGCTGTTAGCTAGATTACACACAGCCCACATAAAATACTGAAATACAGCATTGTCAGATATTCTCAATGCATAAAAGACCACCAAGCAAATAGGTAGCACATTTATACAGCAAATCAGGTGAGTTGATATCACCCAACTACCTCTAATTTTAGAAATATGTCTTTGTAGACAGGAAACAGCTCCTAAGATTTTACCACTGTAAGCTAACAGCCCAGCAGAAAACATCCAGTAGTAACAGCAGGCACTCCTGAAAAAACTACTCCATGAAGGAGAGCACGAGCACTTTTAGTTGTTTAATTGTTCTTAACTATGGCTAGACCTATAATAAAGGGAGACTGGTACCACAGTGTGAACACGCTCAATCCACTGGCCACATATGAAGACTAAACCTCACCTCATATACAACAGTAATTCAATGTCTGAGATGTAATGAATCAGGTCCATGAGCACGATTCTATTGTGTGTGCTATGCACTTTACTGTCTAGAAGGAGACTTATCTACATGCCATGAAGATGTCAACACAAACTCTCAAAAAATCATCTGGTACCAAACTTCCTTCAATAAGACACTGGTATATGATCCAGTTCAGTCAAGCTATGAATTTTTAACTTTAGGTATGTAGTATCTGCATTCACTGAATCAACAGTGTGGTACTATATGTGTTTAACTCTGGAGGCTTTTTGTCACACAGTCAACAGTGTGAGTGCCTTTGGGAACACTCAGTTCTCCCAGGCTCACTTGGCAAAACATTTCAAATTGTTTTGAGCAAGGGGGTTGGACTAGATATCTCTAGAGGTCCCTTCCAATCTCAACCATTCTGTGATTGGTGGCACCTACTATGCTTTCCAGATGCCAGATAACCAAAACCTGCTGTGATTTCTGCCAGAAAATTCTGCTTTAGTAAGGATGGCTTTGTGCTCAAACAAATAGCACACCAGTCTGAAAAAAATGGAAGTGAGAGATAATCAGGCTGTTTGTTGAAAACACCATACAATTGTTTTGCTTTCCCACTAGCAATCAGATAGAAACTTCTCATCCCCTCTACCCTGTTCCCAGAATTAAGTCAGTCAAAAAGATATGACCTGCAAGATTTCCCTGTGAAGCACCTTTCCACAGACTCTATGAAACAGAGGTACTTTTTTTTTTTTTTTTAAATCCCCTCTCTCCATACCATACTCTCCCAAACACGGTAGTGTAAGGATATAAAATACTCCCATCAGGGGGTACTGCTGCATAAATTCTCCCATATATTCCAGATAATGGCATCACAAAAGAGAAGCAGAAGTGAAATATCAGTGGGAGAAAAAAGGCCCAAGATTACTTTTGATGACTTTTAGAGCTGTGTTTTGTTCCTAGCAGTTTCCAGGAAAAGTGGAAACAAGTTACCAGTATACCAGAAATTAATTCTTTGCAAAGAAAGTATAAGTCTCAAGTAGAGTCCAAGGGGTCTGAAGCAAGTTTTACAAGGTAAAGCACTGATTGGACTATAATTAAAACCATATTTTGGCTAGCCTAGAACTTTGGGTAGCCTAAAATATATTTACAGATTTATTGATTTTAGAGTAGTAATTGGTTATTATTCTATTAAGCTCTGCTGCTGTCCCTAGTGGGCAATATATTGATTTATTCTTTCTTTCTTTCTTTCTCACAATGCTTAAAATTAACTGTCCTACATCTCAAATAGGATGAACAAAGGCAAAAAGCACAAAAAAAATCTCTTAATGAAAACTAAAGCAAGCCCTTAGGAACACTGAAAAATTCCAGATGTATTTAAAATAAAAAGTTCCTTTGTATCACTGATCACTCGCCATTACCAGGGAGGAAAAAAAAAAAAAAAAACACACACACACACGGTTCATTGGTATAACCTTCATATTGCATGATATGGAATATATGACTAACAGGAGAGCAAAAAATACACCTACTGCACATGGGTAAGCAGAGACAACCCTGAAAAAAACTTCACAGCACATACCTCATGGCAGACCTGCACTAACAATCCTGTCTTTTAGACAAAGGGACTAGCCCCACTTCCCAGTCTTTCATTATGCTCCATGATTTACATTCTTTAAATGAGACTCTGTATTCTTTGAACGAGTCCGTATTCTTTAAACGAGTCTGTATTCTAAACCCAGAAAGATCTTACCATCCAGGGTAGGCAGAACAGTACTCCTCAGGGCAAGCACCAAACCAAGTGGCGATCCAAAGAGGAAGAAATCAGACACCTCGAATTCAAATCGGCCCAAGTTTACTTCTGAGAGACTGGAGCTATTCACAGGAGGAAAGTCTGCATCATCTTTCAACACATTTGAGTGGATGCTGAGCAAAGAAAACACACTGCTTCAATATTAATGCAGAGAGCATCCAGAGAAAAAGTCCATTTCAAAAACGAAGTACTTAGAAAACTCTAGCATCTGCATCTAGATCCAAACAATATATGTTAAATTGTAAACAGATACGCAGTATAGCGGCTGTTTATCCTGTTTTCTATCATGTTCAGTAAATTTACAATTATCAACATGTAAGAGCTCTTTGCAGTTAAAATACTCTTAAGAAAGTAAACTGGAAGATTAAATTTTACTTTCCCTCCCCTTCAGCTGTATAGACATATGTAATCATATTCTGAAACTTGCTACAAATTCTAATCTATTCAGCTTGTATAAGGACAATCACGTTAAACAGTTACAAGTCAAAGGATGTTACATAGATGTGTAGTCATCACCTTAGTTCATGGCCTAGGGAACACATCAGAAAGAGCCTTTTTCTGTATCTATTACAGGTAGAAATTAGCTATGCATATGGATAACTTTTCATCTTTAAATTTATAATAGTAACTTTTTTTTATATACCATAAACACAGGAATACAGATCACTTATCCCTGATTGACAGGAAAAAAAACACTTGCCCCTCATTTAGATCTGTTAAAAGATGAAATTACATTCAAATTCAGTACATTAGCACACAGTTGTGTTCAGCCACAAGACAGGAGAACATATCTTCAGTGGCCAGAAATTCTGTAAATTGCTCCTGTATCAGACAAAAAAAAGACCATTCTCTTTCAACCTTTTGAGTCCACCTAGTATCCTAATTTATCCCAGTTTTAACCTGATGCTTTTAACCACACCTCTAGAGGCTTCTTCAGGGTAGAAATGAAGAAATGTGAGAATTAAATCTATTATCCATTTGACAGTAAAGTTAAGTTGGTTCTCTGGGCCAAGAGCACTCAGGGAAAAAAAAAAAAAAAAAGACATAGGGTAACACAATGAAATGCAACAACAGTATCCTGGACTGGGACATTTGTGTCACCTCACTACTCAAACTGAGATATCACCTATAAATCACACCAAGCAAGCTCATAAGAAGAGATGTCTAATGATCTCGCATAAATTTCACATGCAGAAAACAGAAGACCTTGACTTTCCTGTATACACTATGCAGGGCAGGAAATAACTTTGTTTGCTTTGATTTTTTTCCTATTTAATTTACCAAGGATATTTTTTTGCCTTCTTTAGTCTATGCATTTCCAGCTATTCCTCAATAACTTAACAAAAGCCTACATTTTCATGAGTTTGAAAAGCATTTCTTTCCATTCACATTTCTATCTGGTTGCTTAAGCAAAGCTGTGTGTAAAGCTTTCAGTTTAAGTTCACAGAAAATGAAAACACAATACTTAGAAGAAGATCGTTTCATCTACCAATTATTCTGTTATAGCTCAAGCATGAAGTGGTTTACACAAGCCAGGACTGTGCTTTTCTATGCTCTAGACATTACGCAGGACTGTTCATACAAAGACAGCTGAACGTGACGGATAAAAAAAAAAAAAAAAAAATCACATCTTAACACATGCTGTTATTTGGGGAAAAAAAAATCCATGGTGCAGAAATAAAAGCAGAAAAAACAACAAAAGTAAAGCAAGGCACATACACAATGCAGCCAAAGCAAGAAAATAAATTTACCTTAAACCACCACTAACGAAACAGTCAGACTGAGTTACAGCACAATGGTAAGTGTGCTACATTGAAGCTGCTGCAGAACTGAAAAATGGAACCCAATAAAACTTTTCTCCCTCTGCATCACTCCCAATGAAATAAAGAAATGAGAAGATGTAAAGAAAAGAAAAGCACAAAGAGTTCAAATAAGTAAAAAACAGTCAAATAGCCAAAAAGCTGCAAAAACAATAAAACAAAAGCAATGGTAAACTTTGCATCATATCCCTGTTTCTTAGGATTCAGGAAAGCTAATTAAGTTAACTCTCTTAGCCCTCACCCACTTTGCCATTTAAGCTGAATATTTATGCAGCATTTTGTTGCATTTTAATACTGGATGGAAGAGCTTATAGACCAACGAGAACACATAAAACAATTATCTCATTCTTTGGAGAATAATGAAAACCCTGTAAGTGAAGTCAGAGGGGTCTTGAAGAGGGGAAAACAAAACAAACAAAGCCAAACAACAGAAATTCAAAATTATAAAGCTTTCTTCCATCTTGACTTGTGTGGGCTGCACAGAAGAAATAGAACTACCTGCTTTGCAGTTTTGCATTCAGTACGCTCACATCTAAATTTAAAAAAAAAATTAAAAAACTCACTACAGATGAATAAGTCTAAGCTAGACCCCTAATCTATAGCTATGTCTTTCTTTCAGAAATATGCAGGGACTTCAAGCAAACTTTCAAAAACACTCCATAAACAATACAAACAACTGAATTACTCCAGCACTGACAGGCTGCATTCTATGGCAAGCTCATTTCCTTTACTCAGACATCAAACACTAGTTACCTAGAAAGGAAAGCATGGTGTTGAGTTACAGTATCACAGTCATAAGTGGATGAGTCACTTTGTTTCCGTGGTAGCGACTGTCTTGGTTCCTCATCCTCCACGATTCCCGAGATATCAATATTGCTTTTGCTGAGGCGCTTGCTGCCACCCAGACTAGAGTCCTCTGCTAAGAGGGTATTATCCTTCAGAGAATAAACAAAGCAAAATGAAGGTTTAGAAAGGGATCACAATACAGCAAAACTTACCATTGAAATAGCTGCATTTATATGTTTGACCTCACTTTATCCAGGCAAGACTGGACAGGGTTAGGCTTCCTCTCTTCAGACCCACATATAGAAAGAGATGAAGACCAACTGTCTGGGACAGAGTGCTGGGAGAAGTGTGAGGAATTTTTGAAAGGGAAGAGTTACACAAAGACTTCTTCTTGATTCCATTTTGCCCCTTTTTGACTTCATTGTTGTTAGAGAATTGCAAATATCATAATCAGAGGGGTCTTATCTGCATGCATAAAATGTCAATTACAATATGGTCTTGTAATTACTGCTGTAGACCACTATGAATTTTATGGAGTCAGCCAGGAATTGAGGGCTCTTGCAGTGTTTCTTGGGAAGTGGAAACTGTCTGCCTGCTGCTTTGGGTGATAAAATGATGGATGAAGTGATGTATAACCAAAAGAAAAAAAGAAAAGAAAAAAAAACAGACTGTTTTGCCAAATATGTGCTTGTCTTGAGTTCAAGCCAAAATCAACTACAGGTTCTATTTGTACTTTTCTATGCAACCAGTATCTTGATTTGCCCTGCAGTTTACAGTCTTCACTGGAACCCCCCTTTTTTTTTTAATCAGGTATTTTCTTATTTTGTCTTAAAAATGGTATCTTCCCTCCAGAAGAGCAGAGACCTTTCAAAGCAAAAATCCTATCACAAAACTGTTCTCGAGTTTTTGTATAAGGGCTCTGTACAGCTACATTCTTAGCAACGGATATGAACAACACTTCTTTAACTGTTCATATTTCATAATTATTTCAAATTGATTCAATATGCAAAAATGCTTACCCCATAGATTCAGTGAAGAGTTCTATTCTCCAGCTTGTTCCCAAACCACAATATATTTATATTTTTAAAGGGAAATTTTCATTTCCTTAAGGTTTCAGTTGTGTGTTTCCCCCCCCTCCGCCTCTTTACCTGAATGCTGCTGATGCTTCCTCTCCTGCTACTGTTCTGACTCTCATCAGCCATATTAGCATTACAGCAGATGGCATCAAAACCCAAAATTCCTCCTATGCAGTCACCAATGAGACACACCTAGGAAATAAGAGCACTTTTTTGGCGAAACACAGCAAGTGCTTTAAATATATATATATATAAATGTGTGTGTGTATGTATATGCACACACACACACACACAGAGAACACTTCTCCCATCTCAGAGGATGTTCATTCCATCCCTGTCCCCCTACCCCTGAAGGAGAAATAGCTGCTATCATCTCTCTCCTTGATAACAATCCTCTCTGTTCCACAGGTTCCAGCAACCCTTCTCTCTCCTATTCTCAAAGTGAATGTCTAGTCAGTTCTTCCCAAGTTCATCAATTAGTTTAACAGGAGACACTATCTCCCCTGACAAGCCTTACCTTGCTTTCAGCCTTAGCTCAGCTTGGCTACAACACAACTCCCCATTCCAGATAACAGGATGTTGCGCACAATCTCCTCAAAATGAGCAGTGTTAGGAAAAGTGAGCATTTGGACACAGAGGTAGGAAGACCAAAAAAAAATTAATCTCAGTCCAAAGGCACATAAAACTATCAACACGCTGATTTACCCTGTTGAGCTCCAGACTCCTATATAACGCAACAAAGTCAAAGACTTGAAAGTCATAAGCATATCAGTAACCTCAACAAAATAATCAGCAGGTTTTGAGATGCATTAATGGTATCTTGAACTTCCACTCCATTTCTAATCCTCATTGTTATTGGCACGAAGTTAACGGGGTTAACTTCTTCCAGATACTATATAAAGCCCAAAAGGCCATATCTGCTCTTATGAGCTTGCAAAATAAGTGGGTATAACAGACCAAAATACAAGACAGGAAAGAGACACACGGTGGGGGGTCAAGCTATATGGCATGCCAATTAGAATTACAGAACTATTTAGAGGGATAGTTGGTATTTCTATCTAAGGACCAAAGCAAAGCACTGCAGAGAGAGCAGAGAGGTCCCTTTTCCAATTTCTAACAATGCTGGTACTTGATAATAAGAAGATTGTGGAGCATACAGGAGTCATGTAGACTCTTACATACGAAATATTAATAACGATTTGGGGAAAACAAAACAAAACTACTCTAGTGGTTTCATTGTCTCATTCATGCTGGGCACTGAGGAGGCATTTTACACAAGTAATCCCACGTCAACATTCCTTCATCATGCTTGCAGCATTGTTCCTATGTTCATGATCCCAAACCTTTGGAACAAAAATCAGAAACAGACCAACAAAAACCAGCTTTGTCCTCAAAGAAATATACTTTGTTTAGCAAAAGAGAGTCCTACCTGCCCATTAAAACCAGCCCCATCTGCAGATTTGAGAAAATCATTATAAACTTGGTTGGCTCTGCTAATCACCATGGCAACTGCATCCTGGTACTGAGGGGATGAAACGGCCAGCAAGGGCAAGGCAGCCAGCGGGATGTGGTCTTCACTACTGCTGAGACAGCTCTCATCATAGCTGTAGGGATTCAGGCTAAAGAACAACATGCTATTATCAGGAAAAATACAAAAGGCAGCACACAGCATTAGAGAATGAATAATTAATAATTAACAGAAACGTCTTAGGCTAACGCAGTTCATAATGAGAGATGGTAAGGATCACTTTCTCACACACAGACACAAAAAGCCAACTGCTTAAAATAGGTATCATTTCAACTATCAGATTATTCCTTCTCAACTTTTCTTTTCCATTATCAACTTAAAATATAAGGGATGGGATCCAACCATCACACTGCAATATTGTTTCTTAGAATGCAAGTAGCTGACAGAGGAATTAATCAAAACCATACAAAAACATTTTTTCCCAAACTTTCTATAAAGACCTTCTCACACTTCTTATGACGTCCTCATGATGTCATGACTCCTCATAACTCATCATGACATCTTCCTCATGACGTCCTCATGAGGTAGAATTTGGACTAATGTTTATTCTATCAAAAAGACTGTATAAAACTACAAACGTTAGGAGATGCATGCAAATACTTGTCTGCATACTAGTATTTGTCTGGAAAAAAGGTGCACGAAATTTGCAAGCTTAAATTTGTCATATGCTAGTTTTACTTACAACATGTACTCTGCACTGCAGTTTCTCAGTAAATATATCAATCACACCTTAGCTAATTTTTACAGAAGAATGGAAAAACCAATTCCCAGAAAGCCAGAGCTACAAGTCACATTAGTGTGCGCCAGCTTCTCTTAAAGTAAGTTTACCTTCCTGTAAAGACCAGTGGAAGGTCAAAAGTACTTCGGGCAATTTAGCTCAAGTTCATCCAGAGCTGCAGACTACCAACTTCAATATACTTCAGCAATATTTGGTATTATCTTCCTTAGGGCCTTTATGGGCTCCACAGTATTAAAAAGCGAGCTGCTTGAAATGGGGTTAAAATCTATGCCTCTGCTAAAACGTGCATCTTTGAGACTATTACCAGGCTAGTAAAAGAGACGATCCACAAAGCTCAGGTATGAAAGCCAGTCTACATTCATGCCCCAAGTTTCACAGGACATTTTCATATTTGGCTATCGTTAAACTCTCTCAAAAAAAAATGGAGTTTTCATTCAAAGATGTACAACAGCTTCTGTGTAATGCAGCTTAATTTTTCTGCCAAGCTGCATCAATTTACAAGTTCACACAGCTCCAGTCAGCAAGCTGAACCAAGAGATCACATACTGAAAAAATTATTTGGGAAAGAAATGCAACCAATTCTGAATGCGATTAGAGCAAAGAACACCAAATTGATATAGGTCAATCCGTTAGCACTGGTACTGTGAATATTCTGTATAGAGACATAGAAGATAATGCAGTTTTTCCTTGGCTGGCTGATCTTTAATGAATTTTAGAACTATAATGCAGCCACTTGGTTATTGTACAGTTATCAATAATCCACTTAAATCTCTGTTTAAATATGGATCCATCCATTAAGAATCAAGTGAATGTGTACCCCAGCAAGAAAGGCATGAACACATGCCTAGTCCCACAAACACATCACCCTCTTCTGGAAATCTCCACTCAGAGGAAGACTGTAGATTAAGACAGCAAATATCAGAAGACAGTATTGTGAGATCACAGACTCATGTGATTCTCTCTCCACTTCCCTGTCATTCAAAGCTTCTCACCACAATTTTGTATCTTTGCGATCTACTTTCTTCCAACCTACACTAGCAAAATTTATGAAGTCAAGACCATTGGTACTGGCAGCTTATGCAAGCTTTTCTAGCTAAGGACATCTTTTCATTCTCTTTTTCTACCATGCAGAGTTCAATGAGTTCCTAGTCAAAGACGAGGATTTTTGAACACTGAAATAATACTATGTTACATGCATATAATAAAGGGATGGGTAGAAAACCTAATATAAAGCCATCTTCAGGAGTTGTGCAAACTGCATGTATATACAAATGCATCTATGCTCTCTCAAGAGCAGCGGAAGCTCACTCCATATCTATTGCCACCAAAATCAACAGGACTACTTTACCATTCAGTAAAGTATCAGGGAACTTTATACCTCTTTCTCTGCTCTTCAGGTCTCTCAGACACAAAGGACAAATAAAGCCAGCATCAGTTACATTAATGTTTATTTGGCAGATTGAGATTCTTTGGATCCGGCTGAGAAGTTGTATTATTATAATTGTTAGCAATAAAATCTATTAATTGCTTTTAATTACAGTAGCAATGCTATTAAAAATGATATAGCTAGATGGATGTGCCATCTAAACACCCTTATTTGGATCAGATTTTAAAAGCATTCTAGAAGGCTACAGCTTAAAAGTCTTCTATCTGAGCATAATAAGGATAAAGTAAAACTCATGGATTATCTGTTGCGCATTCTAGATTCTTTTTATTTTTTGTGATGCAAGCAGACAACAGGCTATAGTCCCAATCAGATGATTTTGTATTAATGCATCCATTTAAAAATGGATAAAAGCTTGCTCCAAGTCTTTCAAAACGCACAAGGCTAAGAAACTCACAGCATTTCATTATGAAAGAGATGGATGACAGCCATTCAAAACTTCCCCGCAAAGACAGCCATTACGAAATGCAAATTAACTTACTTGGAAACAAGAGAGAAGGCCGATGAACAGATTGCTGGGCAGGGAACAAGCCTGATTAAGATGTGGCCCAAAGCAGCAGGGAAATGGGCTTGGGTCACCTTCTCAAACACAGAACTGAAGGTGTTGATGTCTGCCAGCTTGCTGTTCTGGTCCCCTCCTCCAGTATCTAAGATGTTCCCACCATGCAGGATCAAAATCAGCACATGAGTTTTGCAGTTCTGGTGTTGAGATTCTTCCTGAAAGAAGGATACAGACTAAGAAGGTAAAGGTCATCTAAACAACCTTCTTTAGAACAGCCTTCATATGAATGGTGTTAGTGTACTTGTCATCAGTGCTTACAGGTAATTATCAATACTTCTTTTCTTCTACTTCCACTATAAGCTTCTTGAAATATTTGATTTGGGAAAAGAGGAAAAGAAAGATCAGTTTCATTCAAGTATGTCTGAACTAGGGTACAACACTACGCTCTACCAGAAAACCCTTGCAGCTCAGATGTTGATTTCAGATGAGAAAAGATTATAAATAGCGTTTTGCACCTCAAAAGCTATTGGAAATATATGCAGACAGGAGATGTCCAGCATCCAAAGATCAGAAAAGTTCACAAATACATACAACACACACAAACACACACCTTTGAGCTTGTGGTAAGATTGTCTCGATAGATGAGAACATTGTTGATATCAAAAGGATAAGAAAATTACCACCTGTAGAATGGCAACAGAAAAAAAAAGTCCAAAAAAGATTATTTTAAGTTGTTTGAAAACATAACTACCTCTTTTCAAGCCCATGAATTTTAGTATCCAGTAGAATGGCTAATTTTAGCCTCTTTGCTCACCTTCTAAAGGTGTTTTGCCAAGTTGTCTCATATCTGTTTACATAATTAGAGGCATTGATCAGCAGACTGAGAATGTTCTTCTTGTTCTAGTTTATTACTCCCACTCTTGCATGCTCGCACTTCAGTTATTTAAAGGAGGAATTTAATTTCTCTCAAAACCTATGAATAGCTCCTTCCACAGCCAATGCTAACTTGTAAATAAGTGACACTGCTGATGAGTTTGTAGTACAGAAAGATTCGAAACAGAAAGAAGAATTCCAGAAGGTGAGAATTGCTCAAGTCACTCAGCACACTTTGTTTTAACTGTCATCCTTCACTGGATGAGTCAAAATGACTGTCATCATTTTCAGTGTGCTTTAGGATTGGGATTCTTCAAAAATGAAAAAGGTCAGATTTTTGATGCCTGCCCTACGCCAACTGTTTGGACAGAGGACTTCAATCAGTTAACTTGGAAGGAATACCTGCTTTGATTCTGCAAATCTTCTAAAAAACAAACGGTTCTATTATTATCAGCTTCATGACTGCTGCTGAATCTGCTTCAGAAAACCTGCATTTCCACTGAAGCACCAAGTAGACAGGATAATTTCTCTTTAGAAACTTTTCTGGAAATATGACCCAATTTATTTATACAGTATCATATAATCTAAAAGGCCTCTAATGATTTCCAGCGACTGCACATGCACTTGCCAAACAATGGAAAGATGCACTAAAACATCAAAAGGGTTTATAATTCCAACATACACTATGAGAGCCGAGACCGTGTGATCTATTAGGAATATTTCCCTTCCCTCTCCCCCACCCACCTTTTTTTTTCTTTAAAACCAGAAGTGAAAAATCAAATTCTCTAGAAAAGCTCAAAGCAGAACCTCAGAGGAAATGAGATATTCTTGCAATAAGAATCACAGAGTTAGCAGTTTAATCAAGGACTCCATACCGAGATCGGCAGTCTTGGTAAGTAACCCATGACTCTAGGAGACCAACGGATATGAGAAAAAATAGTTACTGAATAACTAGCATGGGTAAAGCAGCAGAGCTTCCTGCAAGAGCTGCTCAGTTTTATGAGAAGGTGAGGATATCATGGTCTCTATATTTTCTAACCATACGACAAGACAACACTGTATCATCTTGACCTACAAAACATTAAACGTCCTATTTAAGAAATTGTCCATCTCCCCATGATTAAGAACGAAGTGAAATTAACAGATCCTAAGGAAATTAAACCAGCTGTGATTTTAAAAAAGACAGGAAGGATGTTTGCCAAGCAGTTTTCTCCTCTTCAACACTTGCTTCCTTCTTGCTCCAGAAGGGTCCAAATCTATTAAATATTATTGCATGTTGTGAAGCAAGGAAGTTTTCTTTTCTCTCTCTTTTTTTTTTTTTTTTTAAAGACTCAAGTTGAGAGAAAGATAAGAAGAAAACATGGGTTGATCTTTGTTAGAAACAATTTTTACTGGGTAAAATGTGTACTGGAGATGTCTACTGATCTTGTTTATGCTTATGCTAAAAGCCTCTTGAAAAGATGAGAAGTTTTTACTGAACAGAGGATGAAAAAACACCCCTCAAAATTATGTAGCTATACAGGCTACCATGCAATTGTCTTAGCTTGACTTTTGTCATCAATATGATTTCCACATGTCTGTTCCTCAGAAATCACACATTTGTTTGGGAAACAATCTCACCTCATTGTCCTCGTGTATTTCGATACTGCTTTGTGCAGGGAATCTTTGTTTTCTTAAAGAGGCTTTATATAATTCACCTGAAAGGGAAAAGACATAATTTATTGAATAAATGTTTGGCTGGCTCATCTTTTACAGACATATGCGAAGGTCAGACACATTTATAGTTCCAATACAGAAAGGTCTTCTCACAGGAAATTCTTTGCACAAACAGGGCATTAGGCAAGGTTTCTTAAGGTTTCTTAAAGTCCTGCATCCTGAAGGACCCTCTACTCTTACAGCAGCATTTGGAACATGATTCAGGTGTTTATGTAGAGGTAGTGCAGAACCAGTAGAGCTGCTATTAGTCACTCATGCCTTTCTAAGGCAGCAGTAGAAGAGGTCACCCTAGATTCCTAAAACATCACTGCTAGTCCTGTTTAGGCATCTTGAAGATCCTCTGGAGTGCCTCAAACTGTACTAACCACCTATACACAGGCAGGTGAACTAAGCCTTTAAATTCTCATTATGGCACAAGGCATTATCTTAGAAAGCCAGAGAACAGTATCAAGACCACTCCAAAGACCTTCAACATCCAACTCCACTACAAACCTCTGCGACTTACCTGGGAAACTCCCAGCAGCAGCCACTGTGCTCCATTACTAGGCTGCACATTAGGAGTTACAGAAACATAGAAGAAAAGACAGTTACTTCTTCAAAAACCTTATGATCTGACAACCAGGAAGACACAACTGTAGAGAAAGGGTTTTGTTAATGCCTTTTATCACAACAGGATCTTAAATTCATCATCCAGTGTTACAATAATGAAGGCCTCTGCACTGGTATCAGAACAGTACTTCAAATGCTTTTGGCTTTAGTAGGAACAACATCAGTTATCAATGAAAACCATAGCCAATTACATAGTCAAAGCCTGAAGACAAATACTGAATATCTGTTTTAAAATACCTCACAGGAGGTGTTAGCTGCACTCTTTTGGCCATCACATAGCAAATCTGGAACACTTGTTAGTTCAACTGCATTAAGAAACAAACCAGAAGATTCAGACAAATAACAGAGATTAAATTAGTAAACTCTTTCAACTAAAGAATCTTAAAGACCCATTTGCTATTACTTAAACAAACTTACTCAACAGCAACCTGTTGTAAGCAGTGTGACATTTAAAACATCAGCTTTAAAACCAAGACTGTGTCCACTGTCTGAACTTCAGAAGCAAAGGTGCTGCAACTGGTTATGAAAAGATTTCCCTTCAGAACAGGCCTTCCCTGTCCTAGAAAAAAAGGAGGATGTTTGCTAAGGCGCATTCCTACAGCCACTTGAAAGACTTGCTGCATAATCTCTCCAGTCTTTTCAGGCTGCATTCAGTCTTTTTTCTACAGCTGCATGTGTTGGTTACCTAGGAAACCAGCAGGATGAAAACACTTTTGTCAGCTTGAACATCACATTTATACACAGGAACAACCTCTTGTTGGGGAATAAAAGAGCACTACATCCTCCTGGCTCTTCCAGCACTTTGAAACACCTCAATTAGAGATCCTGAGTCCAACTTTGCTATAAAAAGCACATACCTTCTGACTTGTTTCTTTCTTTAACAGGTACATTATTGACCATTGTGTCGTATTTCCAAACATATTAAGGGCAAGAATGTGACTGGGGATACTCAGCACAGATATTCTAAAATCTTTTTTTTTTTTTAAGATAAGAATATGAAAAGATACAAATTAGTTGCCACTCATTAGTGACAAACCCGTCATGATTTCACTGCTGAGCACATCATCTCAACCTCTGTCTAAATACAACTACTCTCATGTAACAAGAAGCCACAATTCTATTTATACTAAATAATAAACAACAGCTATCTCAAAAGTTCCTATCAATTTTGATAGAGTGAACAAGAAGTCCATTGCTTAACAAGGGTTCAGATTTTTTTTCCAGCTGCTAAAAATTTCTAGTATTTTCCTTAATCTTCAGAGGTTTAAGAGGAAAACCATTCAATTGGGCACTTTCCCACATTTCCTCTGTTTTTTTTTTTTTTTCTCCCCCCCCTCCCACCAGTTGGCAAAAGAGCTCCTGTATAACGACCATGGAGAGAAAGACATAAAGAAGCCATGTTAATAAAAGTATAAATGAAATCTTGTATTGAGCACACCTGTATTTTCACCTCTAGGAGTCCAAGTGCCAACCAGGGTTTACTGGTGCTCTCCTTTAAAGAGTGACAAAGCAGGCAACAATTCCTCACTCGAACCTTACTGAACACTTCTTCCCTGACACCATCAGCATGACAAGTGTCACTTCACTTTTTTCCAAACAACTGGAAAGACTAAGAAACTCCATGGAAGCTTTTAGATGAGTTAATACACTTTTAATTCAGATTGTCTAAGTTCTACCTTGTTGTCTCAATCAAGCATTTCCCAGTTGCATGTCAATGGTTCCTTGATCATTAGAGCCTCTGAAAACTGTTCTCTGGGAGTGTTCACTCTATCAGCTGAGCAGCAACAGGAATTTAGCCTTCTTAATAGGAGTTGAGTTTGAGCTTCTCTTTTCCTTTAAAGCAATGGAAAAACTTGGCATCATTTTACTTTAAAAGTTGGCAAATAGTCATTTAGCAGATGGCTTTTAAGGAACATTAGTCTCCAGTTCATTTTCACTGTGTTCAGTTCTGGGCCTCTCACTACAAGAAGGACTTTGGGGTGCTGGAGCGTGTCCAGAGAAGGGCAATGAAGGGGCTGGAGCCCAAACCTTACGAGGAGCAGCTGAGGGAGCTGGGGCTATTTAGTGTGGAGAGGAGTAGGCTCCAGGGAGACCTTAGGGCTCTCTACAACTACCTGAGAGGAGGTTGTAGTGAGGCTGGGGTTGGTCTCTTCTCCACAATAACTACAGGCAGAACAAGAGGAAATGGCCCCAGGTTGCGTGAGAGGAGGTTCAAGTTAGACACTAGGAAGAATTTCTACACGGAAAGAGTAGTCAAGCATCGGAACAGGCTGCCCAGGGAAGTAGTAGAGTCACCGTCCCCGGCAGTGCTCAAGAAACGCGTATAGGAAGGCTGTAACACAGGCTTCCTATTAACCAATGACAAAGAATATTTTAGTATGCTGAATATGCAGTTTCTGGCAAGCTATACTGTTTAGAAGAAAATAATGACATGCATCACTGTGCCATATCCTGTTCGGGGAGTCACAGCAGGAGACCCTGCCTGTGCCAACTCCATTCTACTCCTTCATCAGAAGAGTCTTCTCCACACAGACTGCCAAATCTCGTACCCAACAAGCATGGTGCACTGGAGATGCAGCGAGGCACAGGATCTAGCTTACTATTTAGACTTTGCCCCCTGGCTTCAGTTCTCAGACCAGGCACAGCACAATTCCCATAGTGGAAGGCCTGGCACAGCCACAATAACAGCATATGCTTATGAATACACTTAGGAATAGGGAAAAAAAAAATCACCTTTCACAGAGAACTTAAAGAGGGCAACTGACAACTAGGAAAGCAGTGATGACACAAAAGACACTATTTATTTCTATGAGCCAATTAACCCTATTTAACAAGCAGCACAAAAGCACACACACAAAAAAAAAAACCTCAACAGCACAGGGACACACCTAAGGGGGACATGGCAGCGAAGGAATCCCTAACACATCAGTGAACAAGTGAATAAATTCTAGAGGTAGCTGATGCTTTCATGCAAATTAGCTCTTTCTTAGTAAAGAGTTCTCATCACATTTGTACCACTGCCTTGCACAGGATATGGTAAATAGAAATAGCTTTGCAGACGTGCACGGGCTATAAGAGATTCATAGAATCGTTAAGGTTGGAAGGGACCTCTAGAGATCATCTAGTCCAACCCCCTGCACACGCAGGGTCACCTAGAGCACGTGGCACAGGACTGCATCCAAGCAGGTTTTGAAGATCTCCAGAGAAGGAGACTCCACAACCTCTCTGGGCAGCCTGTTCCAGTGCTCTGTCACCCTCACTGTTAAGAAATTTTTCCTAAAGTTCCTGTGGAACTTTTGTCAAGAGACACAGGTGATTCATCTAGTTTTTTACATCTAGTATTAGATTTTTGTCTCTACAAAAGCTCCTCTTCACCTTTTTAGTAACTTTCTCTCAAGCTCTTGCAAAATTTACAAAACAGAGCTGAGACAGTGATGCCCATTTGTGCTCCATAAAACGAATAATGACCAGGGTTAATTCAACATCCAAACAAATCTTTCTTATTTAATTCTTTCATGATGATAGGATGGGGGTAAAAATAGTTATTTAGTACAAGTCTTTCAAACTTTGACCCAGACTATGAACATTTTTATGTACAGTGTCATTTTCTCCCTGCTTCTCTCAGCACTGTCCCAAGCTGCTCCACAAAGTAACAAAACATTCATGGAATCCCACACTCCCACTGAAACAATCTACAAAAAGAAAGATTAAGTACCTAGATTTAGTTTGTTTTTTTTTTTTCCTCCTAGAAACTTAGAAAATAAGAAGAAACTAAGAAAATTTTATAGAAATCTAGAAACTGTTCCAATATAGTAAACAGTGCTTGCTACAAATTTATTTCCAGCCTACAGACAGGGCCTTGAAAGCCAAGGAAAAAAAACAAGAAGACCTTTAAAGTCTGGCCCCAGAATAACATAAGGGCCTAGATTTATTTCAAGCACAGAACTAAAATCTGATATCATCCTCTTTTACAAACCTTCACAAAAGGTGTTTCATAAGAAGAAAGATCCAAATATGTGGGTTCATCAAGATCTTTCAGCCATAAGTTCCCAGGCTTAGGTTCCATGCTCACTTTATGCTCCTCACTCATCAGAAATGGTATGTTCTCCATCTTCTGGAAACATGCCACAGTGCAAATCACAAAGTAAGTTTAAAGACCCCTTATATCATATTCCCTTCACAAAGTCATCACTTAAGACATTCAAGAAACATGAACTGAGAGAGAATATTCAACTGAAATGCAGAGATGTTCTAACAAAATCTGCCATATTTTGAACTACCCATCTGAAGATATAATATGACACAAAAAGTTGACATGCCATGCCTGATTAGTCACTTGAGAACATTCTACTCCACATCTAAGTATGGTCAA